ACTTGCCTAATGGTTATGTAATACTTGAGTCAAGTAATATAACTACGCCTTTAGAGCAATCAATTTAAAATATCGACTGGTTATTTAGCGATGGTATTACTCACTGTTCACCAACAACGAAGATTAAACAATGTTATTATTATAAGTCCATACAGGAACTAACTTAGGTTTTATCACTATAAATTCTTGAATGATGAACTCAATAAATTTTTTAAAGAAGTAATAGAAATCACACAATATCTTAAATTCAGGTTTAATTACTATAAATTCTTGAATATTGAACTCAATAAATATGTTAATATTTTAATGAAGTAATAGTCATCGCACAATATCTTTAATTGAACAAGTCATTGAGTATTCATCATGTTCACTATAAATTATGACTAATTTTTCAAGGTATTGTCTAGATAAAAAATTTACTCAATGTAAAATAATGGCTGAGATAGTAATTGGGAATTTTAAAAATCAATTATTATAATTAATATATGTTTCTCGATTACCCAGCCAATGTACATTTTTGCACATTTTGCTAGTACTTACGTATGATATTGTGATGATTATCATTGGTGATTTATAATTTATTAACATAATAAGCAAGCCAGCTGCATGCAACCCATATGCAAAGCGGGAGGATTCTCCCTTAATTAAATAAGCGACAACATTGTCTTTTGATTATCAGTACGTGCTGCAGTTGATATTTTTATTTATTAAAAGAATGAGCGAACGATGTTTTCAACTTTAGGTCTATCATCCGACTCTAATTATATTATACTACAAGAAAAGGTACAAAAAACAATTCCCGGACTTTTATTCAATGTTTGACTCAAGTTCTATTTCATAAGATATTTTACATCATCACTTTGAACTGATCTCACTGCAAGCCTTCTAGATCAGCAAGTTATTTTCTTAACTTTATTCATAGCTCATAATCCATAGGGTTATTTCCAACTGCACCAGTTTTAGACGAACTCTTTCAATTCTCTACATGGCTGTAAGTTTATCGGTTCGTTTATTTAATTTAAATATTTTCCATTACTTATTAAAGCCATAACAGTTCATTTTAGTGATGTGAGTTTATCTATTTATTTAGCTAAATTGTCTATATTCCATTAATAAAGAAAATTGATCATAATGCATTTCAGAGCAATGCATTTATTCTTTAAGAAGTCCATCTTAATTTTTTTGTTCCTATTGAAAAAGGAAAACTATCCTACTGTATTTCAAAATTGGGAGTTTACACGCATGTTTAATTTATCTGTTTCTATGAACAATGAAAGCCATCAATAGTACATCTTCTAGTTGTAAATTTGACCATCTATACAAGTATACTCAATTTATCTGCTTTCCTCTAATAAATAAAGCTATAATAGTGCATTTCTGAGTTTTAAGTTTATCTGAAGAAGTATACTTGATTCATCTGTTTCCTATTAGTAACAAAAAATATAAATAACTATGCAATTCAGGATTATGAGTATATCTAAAGAAGTGTATTTAAATTATCTGTTTCCGGTCAATAACGACAACCTTATTTTAGTGCATTCAGAGCATTTCAAAGCTATCAGGTTACCTGAAGAAGTATTTTTTATCCATCTATTTGCCATTCATAACGAAAACCGTAATAGTGCTATTAAGAAGTGTGAATTTATCCCTTTCGAAGTATATTTAATTTATCTGTTCCCATTCATAATTATAATTAATAGAAACTATTATGGCACACTTCAGAGCTATGAGTCTATCCATTTAGAGGTGTATTAGTATGCGTCTTTTTTCTTTTTAATAATAAAAGCCTTAATAATATATTTCAGAGCTATGAGTTTATCAATTTAGAATTTTATGTTTGAATGCATTTATTTCGCATGAACAGCTAAACCTTGCTAATATATTCCAGGACTGTGAGCTTATCAATGTAGAAGTCAATTCTAATGCCTCTTCTTCCCGATTAATAACAAGAACTACAACAATACATTTCAGAGCGATGAGTTTATCTATTTAGACATTTAATTTATCTATTTTTCCACTAATTGTTAATACCATAACAATGTATTTCGACGCTGAGAGTATCTTTATTGATCTATTTTAATTTATCTGTTTTCAATTAATCATCAAAACTATAAGAAATCATTTCACATACTGTACCATCGATGGTTAAATCTTTCCATCAAGCTCACCCTATCAAGTCAGGACTGTCAGTCCAGTGATTTTAAATTTCATATTCAGATTCATCCATTCTATTCCCGCCTATATGTTCTACATAGTACTCTTACATTGAAAAGGATTGACCCGGATGTTATTGCATAAAGTACCTAAACCATTTCTATCTACCACATGCACTCTACATATACATATAATTGATGTCTTTTGACTATTGCTATTGGCTATCTATAACTTATGCTAATAAACTCTAACTTTAATCTACTATCATATTACCGTTGTAACGGTAGTTTGCATTGTTCCCTGTCCACTACAAAACAATATAATTAAATTTGAATTTTCTTTTGATCATGTTTCTATGGTTTAACAGAAGTTTCCTGGACAACAGTAAACTTAAACCAAGCCCATTGCTAATAATATTACTGAATGATAATAACTAGGAATAAACAAGAGGTAAGGCTGGCTTAATCAAGGTTTCTACACCATCTTTTGATGTAAATTTTTCCGTATAGGATCACATAATAACGGATTGCAATAAACAATAAAATTGAACTTACATATATTGTTGATGGAATAACAGTTATAATAATACGATCTAGTCAAGCATGTTAATAAACAGAACATTTATTATACAAGCTTCAATTTATTATTCAAATTATAAATTATAGTACAATAGTAAGGACACGGACTAACCATCAACGTTGCCTTCCTCATCAATCGATAAGTTGACACAGTTGCCTTGTACTCTAATTCTACATTTTATCCCATGTTGGCTGTCGAGCATTCGGTTCTTAATGGATTGATTATAAATAATGCGATTAACTATGATTAAATACAAATTAAACTTATTCTAAAAGGTTATTTTCAATCTATTAGTAATTACAACAGATAGCAGAACATTACTTAACCAAGTGATTAGTCAGCATTCCAATTAGTTAACAACTAACGATAACATTTTTGCGCTACTAGGATATAGATCTACCTTTAGAGCACATTACAGGACAGCATTGATTTTCGTCAATTTCAACTTGTGGCTAAATTTCCAGGCTTGAACTATCAAGAATAATCATGTAAGGCTTTCAATGGCTTTGAGTTTGTATAAATTGCTAACATTAGAATTGACTAATCTTACAAAGTATTTACTAAGTGATCAGTAATCACAAAGTTATACTTCCTTTTATAGCTAAAATAGTAGTTTTAAATAGTTTTTGACGATCTATCTTCCGCATCTCTAACTAAAGTTGATGACAAATTTGACCATAAAATATAGTATAAAACATTTTTGAAGTTATTAGACTTGAAGATTAGACAAAGGGGAAATATTTTATCATGCATTTAGATAAAAAGTAAAAATTGCTGTCAATATCTTGACAAGCGAAACAATCTTTCTTTTTTCTAACCACTACACAGTCTATAATTAGTCCCTGAAGCAATAATTTATTTTCTGTCAATACTAAAATACATTATTTGCATCCAGAATATAGTGTATAATCGCAATAAACTCTATACTATCTAGAAATAGTTAACAGTAACACTAGAAACAGAAACAAATTGATTGTGAATATGGTGTTTAGTTTATGCGTATCAACAAAGTTATATAACGAACTTGTCATCATGACTAGTGGAGTAAACCTCATTTACTCAAGACCAGAATATACCGTTGATGGTGTATGATATATAAACAGTAAATACTGCTTTGAAATTGTAATCAGTGTTAAAATACCAGGAATACTTAACTCTTCATAAATAGCTCCTCTCTTGAAGATACGATGCTTATTTAATTATGGGCGATAGCAGTTTAACATTGATTAGCTAGAAATTTTAGAGTATGCAATCTTAGGTCAGTGCTTAGTCTCGAATTTCTTGATGTTTTTTACTAATCATTTAAATTATAGCCATACTTTCAACGGTATCAATTCTCTTATACTTAAAAGACGATGTAGTAGGAATAATTAACTAATACGATTTACTTAAAATAGAATCTTATACTACAGAAGATTTCAAATTATACTAGACTGTTTATTTTACTTCGATAGTGTTATCTAAACCATGCATTATGTCAAATAAATCAATACCATAATATTAAGTTAACAAAAATTCTTATACTCGAAAAATACAGTAGTATTTCAAGACTGAAATCGAAACCTGATAATTTACTAAATAGATCTACATAAACCAATAATCTTATTGCTATAAGAGTTGTTCATACACAATTTATCTTTTAGAAAAATATTCATTTCATCTCAGTTTTATGAATTAATTTTTTAAATAATGCATAATTCCATGCTAATGATGAGAATTCGTATCTAGGACTAGCACTAACAGGTCCAGAAATGGGCGCCCTATTCTTCAAAAGGTAACATCTGTTGTATGAGCAAACAATTTGAAATTTATTACAAAATTCCTAGGTGCAGTCACTAAATCAGTCTTGTATAAATCTGTCGGACTCGCATATAGCCTTCTATGGATCCTTTACCGAATTATACTTTCAGTATATTAGAAAACTAATTTCACAGGATTTCATATGGAATCTATGCAGCATTAATAATACATACCTATACAGTAGCAGAGTATGTGTCATTAACATTAAATCAAAAAGAAGAAATTTGAAATCGCGCAAACCTATGTCAGCCCACTGAATATCGTGTATCACTTTACACTGTACTTACTTCTTTTTAACTTTAAATATTAACCCAGTAATAGATAAAATATATAGCTCAAGCTTATGATGTAGCAATCATGATAATGAAAACAGGATCGATTTACTAGGATGAATAATTTTCTGTGTTTGATTATATACGAGTATATCTATAATTATTCAGTATCAACATTACGATCATCTTACAAAAATGGTAAAAACCCATAATAATATATCAACGAACTTTCTGTCTTACTAATTAAGTTCAATTTCACTTCTTGATATTTATAGAGTAAAACTATCGCCGATGATTCCGATTTAGTTTTATCCTGTACGCTTTGTTCAGAAAAGATAAGGTAAATTAAAACATAACCTAAATCGAATTATTATAACACGTATGGGACCTATCTTGCAAACCCGTATTAGATCGAATTCGGTTGATCTAGTCTGTAGAATATTACGCAGAAATAAGAAATTATTAGTGCCATTAATATAATGATATTTCAAGTCTATAAGAGATTAAAATGTAGGCAACAATACATGTTCATAATTCTTTAGTATAAGCATGTAAGGCCTTTTCTACAGTACCAAATCCTTTAGTCTTTCTATCGGCTATCTGCATCAGCAGTTATTTTATTGTTGCGTATTCATTAACATCTAGTTGATTTTGGGAGCATATATCAATAAAATCATTAGTTTCACTGCTTATGTTAAGTGCAGGCTGGCTACAAATTTATAAAATCTTTTCAAAATGCTAGATTTTTAAAATATGAGTAATATAGGGACTTAAGTTTGCACTATTAGCTATCTACAGTATTTTGATGTCTAATACACTTTTAAGGATTGCAAGGCATTGGATCATGAGCATTTGCGTTATTTTTCCAACTCATTTTGACTGTTATAGCATTATATACTTCGTCATAGGACGGCTATTTTAATTATTATCGTATAGGAATTATAGCTAACAATAAGCTTACGTAGTATATAACATATATATATAAATCTTTGTTTGATTCATTTTTTAGGATAACAGACTTAGAAAGCCATTCGAAAACATGTAATTCGCATATCGCCTCTGCATCGGTGTCTGTTCCAACATCACCTAAATCTGTGTAAGTATTCATAGAATGTTCTTTAATATTCCAACTATCAAGAAAACAGCAAGAAAAATCTTTTCCAATGATGAATCACCATCTATTCAATCTATCTCTTTCAATATGGTAGCCACAAAGAAGCAATACATACTCTCATCATTAATGTAACCTGCATCGATGAAGATCAAGAATCACCATTTAAAATAATAACTAAGGTATTTAAAAGCTACCTCAATCTAAGTAATGCGATTTATGGCGGTTTCCTTATACAGCAGGACCATTCAAATTGATTTCCTTATTTCATAATGTTATTCAGTACGAATAGCACGATTTATTGCAATCGTAGAATAGTATCTTTGCCAAGATTATATAGAAATGGTAATTGACAGAATCAACAATGATTTTAAATTGCCCTCCACCGTTATTACAAAGCTTTAGATACTCTAGACCCTAACACTTCTAGTTTAAATTTTGTTTGGCAATTGCATCATTTTCACCTTTAATGCTGACCCCTATACAGTACATAGTGAAATATTTATTTTATAGATGATGTTCTGAGTAGGAATCGTTAGTTTTTCAGTTTATAAACAGCATTCTATTCCAGTATCAGTTCATGATCTTATCGATTTACCGGACTATTCTCCTTCATGTACACTAGCATGAATATTGCGGTGTCTGTCCTTAACTGAGCTACTAAATTAAGAAGAATGTATTTCTGTATTGAAACAGACTATTACAAGAAGGTTGTGATATGTACTCTAATTCATTGGGTTGATTATTTATTTTACTTTCCCTTACTACAGACCAATCTGACAATCTTTGATAAAAGTTTGATTGAGGTCAATCGTAGTAAACAAGATTTAATTTGGCTAAGAGAAGCCTTACAGGTAATGTAGTGATTATAAGAAGAAAGATAATTGAATTTTGATTGATGATATCTGTTAATTAGTTTATAGTATAAATATAATGATCATTATGTTATTAATTTCGGCAGATGGTCAATCCGGAAAGGATTGTTCCACCATTACGAGATGCTTCAGGCAAATCAAAAATAGGTCAGTAAAGTATTTAATTGTATAATATAATGCATAGAGCAAATATTAATCCATTCTAAAAATCACTAAAGAGTTGCCTTATCCCATTAGAAACTGTACAAGAAATGCAGCGATTTCTATCACGGATTAGTAGGCACAAGGTTATTATAAAATTCTTCAATACTAATCTAGACATGTCTGCAATAATTGCCATACCCTCTACTATGACAAATTAGAATACGGTATCAAATAAAATTACTTCTACCTTGAACGTATAAATAGACATGGAGGGGATAATTCTTTCTTGTTAACATCAACAATATACGATACCAGGCTAGAATAGTCCTACTGTACAAATTTACTATCAATAAGAACAAAAAGTAATAGAATTTAATGAGCTTCAACAATAGTAACGTAATTAAATTAAAATGGCTAATATCATTTGAAAATCTATGAAAGAATAAGCGGAATTAATGAATTATTTACATTCATTATCAACATAAATATTTGTTATAAGTACCTTTCGTTAAAATACATAATGGAAATTCAAAATCAAAACTGATTCAATTAATTACATAACAATTTATCTCGCAACATGGACAGAAGGATCATTCATGACTACGGTAGCTAGTCAATTTTCAATTTTATTTCGTTTATGATTTACCTAAGTTTTACTCCATTGCACGTGGAAAATGAGAAGATGCTCAGATGAGCTTAAAATGATGCCTCAACGGGCATCATATCGGATCTAGATCAATTACTTTGCCATATTAATAATTAGGAATAAAGTGCTGAAATGTTGTGGTACTTTAGTAAGGCTTTACTTGCCAGCTTAGTTGCCTATTAAAGACTTTCTAAGGCAGTCTTGTAAGGAAATCGTGACACTTTTACGAAAATACATTGTCTGATGAGATCAATGTTAATATGATGAAAAAATTCGCTTTTATTTTAAGGAAACACTGACGTTATTTTTCTAGACTATTTGTTTAATCAATTTATATAGAGCTTAGTATGTCTATTGCTATGACATTATAGTTATCCTACGAGTGTATAATATATTAACTCAATGTTGGCTACAACATTCCATACTTTCGAATCACGGATTTAATTTTTCTATTCTATTTTCATTTATGAAATGAACTATTTAGATTCTTCGAAAACACCCATATTTTAAAGTATTTATTACTGGCTCCAACGAGGTAAATAACTACTCCAATACGAATATTAAACCAGGTTTTACTACCACCCATCATAGATTTATCTTGCGTTGATTACTGGTCGTATTATGCATGCCTAAATCTTCCACTATAACTTTATTTTAGGAGCTAAAATCGATTCAAAACGATTACAGTCAGTTAGAAAATCCATATGAAACGATCCATCATAAACCTATTCGGATGGAGAAAGACGAAAATTCAACGCTTCGTAAGGCACAGGTATGTCGATATTAGACATGATATAAAGTAGTTGTAGGAAATAGTCATTTTATATTAGGTCAACGAGCTTCAAAACACTTATTGAGAGTAGAAACATGGACTCATAAATATATATGTATACTGCATTTGAAATAATGATTTATTACAACCCTTTCCATTCAATGCTGATATTTTGCAGTTCTCTGCTTTTAATATGAATATTTATCCATTTCTTTTAATCTTATTCATTTATCAGGATTACATGAATACTTTAATTGCCAATTTAACTATGTTGCAGAACAACATAGAAGAAATGGATAAGAGCAAAATATCAGGTCTACTATTTCGCAAAAGATGATTAGTGTCGTTTATTCCACCTAGATCATTGAATAGCATATTTACTACTGTATACTACGTTTGCGGCGTGATTTACTCAATTTTACACTTCTTACGACCGTTATGGATATCATTCTGATAATGTAGATACCGTTTTCCATGCAATAGAAGGTATTGGTCATTCTGAACCAAGTGATACATTTCTCCAGGTGATTCATTTGGTATTTTGATGATAGTAACGCTAAATTTAACTCAACGATAGCGTATACCATAAAAATTTAAGCCTCTATTCTTTTTGAGGAGAGAATGGCTAAAATATGAAAATGAAATGTGCCTTTATTTAGGAAATTTGCTCTCAGCTTTGTCGAATGCAAGATGAAGCCGATAAGAATAAAGTGAGTCAAAGGGGCTCGATATAGCCAAGTTTTATACTATAGGCTTTCAAGTCTATTAGCTGCAGTTGTATCGCTGATTTGTTAAGTATAGACGATCGTTTTTATTGATGATCTTATTTCATTTTCTTTTGCTACTAATACGATATAGAATTTAATCAATGATCAATCCTTAATTTTGGATATATTGAGTTTGATTGCCTATGTTCAAAGTGCAAAGGTAAGTTGAAATGTTTCTACTCTATCAGAATCAATAGCTTACTGCACAAAAGGGGAATTTTATGGTGATTTAAGCAAGCAATGTTCATCTATTTTTGCTTCAATATTGTCAACACTTGTAAATCATATTTGAAGAATTTCATTCCAACTTTTGCTTCAATACTGTCAGGGTCATACTAGTTATCCTTGGAAAATTGCAGTGTAGAATATTAGTGATGGCACCATAGCTGTTCATGAAAGATGTTTTGTCGTCATATTGCTATTTGAAAGATTTATTTCAACTGTTGTTTCAATACTGTCAAGGCGATACTGTCATACTAGTTCTTCTTAGAAACTGTCATGCAGACCGTTTGTGATGGCACTTAGCTACTAAATGAAAGATTTTTTGTTATTTTTTGTGATAATATTGTCAAGATGATGCTGGCTATCTTTCAAAATACTGCAGACTAGATGGTAGTGATAGAAAATTGTGTTGAATAGAAATACTTTAATTAAAACCGGTAGCAATATACTCAAAGTGAGACTGGCTATCTCTGGGGGAAAAACTGTAATTGCACGACAGTAGAGATAGTAAATTCCGTTTGCAAGACATTTTTAAGACCGCAGTTTGATGCCTGCTGTAGACCTGTAGTGTAGAAACAGTAGTGTAGAAACTTTTGCTTGAAAGAAAACATAATTAAAAACATTAGCACTTTGCTTATGAATATTTACGTAATGGCCTCTTTACGTTGATAGCAGTTTGGTAAAACATTAGTTTCATTTATCCACTTTAGACGTACCTTGATCGAATTGAACGCGCTATCGACAATTTCCTATTCTGGGAAGAAGAAGCTAGGCAGTATGAGAATGCCAATGTACGTCCTGTGTAGCTTGATAGTATAATATATAGTCTAACCATTGCTGGACGTGATTGATTGATCGAACTGTACTTATTATTTTTGTCTGTCAAACTTAGAGCCAACAACCGGATGGAAAGGTCGTTCTATGTAGCAATGAAGATTTAGACAATCCTTTTAGCGAAAGCCGCAATGAGGTAAAAGCAATGTAGGATTATAGTTGTTTCTGTTCTACTCGTTAGGTAATCAAAGTTGAGGATTTAAGTACTGCAGAGGAAGCACGCCCGAGTAAGCTAACTTATTTTATTAATGCAATTTTTATACCATTTTCTTGCCCTTGTGCGCCAATATTGCAGGTTCTATCGAAGCAGAATGCATCTAAAGCTCATCTAGAAGTCATGTGCTTAGATATGTCGAATGAGATTGAGCAATTTGACTATCAAAAAGAATTGGAAATGCAACAAATATTGCTGGAATATTCAGAAAGAAGATGTAAAGTTTATGAACAGGTGAATAACAACTACTCAACTAAATTGTCGTTGTTATCGTATTGGATGGCATCAAGCCTTTTCTGGCATGTTAAATAACCGTTATTTCTTCTTATTACAGTATCATAGCAAATGGGCTGCCATGAAATATACCTTAGAGATACCAATTGATCGCCGTAAAAGAGCTATCGTGGTGGACAATATGGAATAGATCCTACAGTATAAGTAAATTGATTTGTATTATAGTTATACCTACAACGATGTCTGATGGTGCTACTTTATTTTGTTTGCATCATCGTAGCTCAATTTATCATATTAATATTATTAATATATGCGAATGCGTATCCATGACAGTAATAGTAAAGACAGCCATATTCTATATTTTTATTTCTGGGTAAGAGACAACTATAGCTGCAGATGGTTTCTAGGCTATATTACAAAAGTTGTTTTCTCTAACTTGATATTCGTTCAGAGTTTTTACCATTTAAATTATAACCTGTTGACGAATCGATTTGGTCTCCTATCGATTCTCTTGCCATATGGGAATTTGCATAATCAGCTCTTGTGTTCCGTGATTCTACTTTGATGTTATACTATTACTTCGAATTCTTTCTTAATTTGTAAGATATAAACTATAGTAGAGTATCCTAGCATCAACTAGTGTCGTGTGATTCATACAAATAGTTTTAAATTATCCATAAATTTCCTTGCAATACAATGACTATATTCTGAAAGAATTGCCGTTTCGATCTACAGAGTCAAGGATAGCTATTCTAACCACAATCTAATTATATAAATTCTAATCCGTCTACTACATCAATAAAAGAATAAATACCCTTATTACAATATACTAAATAATGTTTTAACTCGTATTGAATGGCAATAAATGCCTATATCTATCAAGTAATCAACCATTGGCAGAGTTGAATAGCTGTCAGGACTCGTCAGCAGCATGGTGTGTTACTAGTAATATGATCAAGAGCCAGTGCCTAGCAGGATGTAGCACGCTTTAGTGAAAAAGCAAGAAATACAAGATGAACAACTTGTAGTACTCAAAAAGACCTGATCGATTTGTACATGATGGACTGATAGCTAGTCTATCCTATTCCCCTGGCTTTAACTTGAAAAAGTTTGGCTATTGCCAGTGGTATAATTTCATCATTATCCTGTCTCCAAATTGTGAGTCGTCATTAATGGAGGTGGACAGTTTCTAGATGCACCATGTAAATATTAACTTTAAATCTCATCCCTATACTCACATAAAACGTATTACAGTGACGATCACTCACTAACAGCTAAAATGATACTTTCGATGTCTTCTGTACTTTGTGATGAGTGAATTATTAACTTCATTCTAGATCCTGTCTCGAAATTGTAAGTCGTCATTAATGGAGGTGGACAGTTTGTTGATGCACTCTGCAAACATCAACTTTAGATCTCATCCTTATACTCACATAAGACGTATTACAGTGACGATCACTCACTAACAGCGAAAATGATACTTTCGATGTCTTCTGTGCTTTGTGATGAGTGAATTATTAACTTCATTCTAGATCCTGTCTCGAAATTGTAAGTCGTCATTAATGGAGGTAGACAGTTTCTAGATGCACCATGTAAATATTAACTTTAGATCTCATCCCTATACTCGTATAAGACGTATTACAGTGTCGATCACTCACTAACAGCTAAAATGATACTTTCGATGTCACCTGTAGTTTGTGATGAGTGAATTATTAACTTCATTCTAGATCCTGTCTCGAAATTGTAAGTCGTCATTAATGGAGGTGGATAGTTTGTTGATGCACTCTGCAAACATCAACTTTAGATCTCATCCTTATACTCACATAAAACGTATTACAGTGACGATCACTCACTAACAGCTAAAATGATACTTTCGATGTCACCTGTAGTTTGTGATGAGTGAATTATTAACTTCATTCTAGATCCTGTCTCGAAATTGTAAGTCGTCATTAATGGAGGTGGATAGTTTGTTGATGCACTCTGCAAACATCAACTTTAGATCTCATCCTTATACTCACATAAGACGTATTACAGTGACGATCACTCACTAACAGCTAAAATGATACTTTCGATGTCACCTGTAGTTTGTGATGAGTGAATTATTAACTTCATTCTAGATTGTATTGATTAATATGATGGATGTTGATGTCATCTATGCAAGGCTAGCTGTAAACTATGGGCAATTTTGCAATTCTCATGCCTGTTCCTTCAGGGGTTAATGCAGGTAGGGTATCATGGCTAGGACGATCAAGGTAATTTATGAGTGAATGACAATATTGCCGACTGAAATCGATTGTATTGGGCGGCTATCATACGCTTTCCAATCCATTTTCTACTTCTACCTCGTTGAAGGCAAGGTTTACAGTATACAATCAGCAAGTACTCCATAGACTATCCTTCTTTTCAGTTTAAAATCTTGTCCTGGCTGTCTTGTGAAGCTTACGCTATCTCCATTCTATCCCCACTGCACGAATGAACCGGTTAAGGATCAACTGCAGACGAGGCTAAAATGAGAGTCATTGTTGATTTCATTACTTTGTGGCCAGTACAGCCTATTAACCTTGGATAGGAAGCATTGATGAAGACTGGCACAATTTCATGTGGAACGATAGATTCACGGCCACGGGTTTTCCTCCATCTCAGTGCCATTGACATACACTGCAACAAAATATTTACCGTAGTCATACTGACTAATCTATCTTGTAGAGTAGAAGGATTACCAGACTAAAGGATGCATTTACTCTACATTGTGGTAATGCATACCATGACCCTGCTATTATTAGTACAGTCTTACTCCTCATATTAAAAGTATCTTTAATTCAAATAGAGAGGAATTGCTTCGATTTCTCTGCAAGTCCCTGATCAAGTCGAAGCTGAGTGGTACTTTTGCAGCATGATCACTCTTGGGCAGGGAATAACTTCCGAGCACCATACCAGTGCCATAAAAGTAAACTAAACGATGCATTGACTGTACTGTGATAATCTATGCCATGAGCATGTTGTATCGTTGCAGTCGAGTCCCATGTCGGAAGCTACCTCAAAATAGAGAGAAATTGTCTCTTGCATTGCTTTTGTAGGAGGCGCTGATCAAGTGGAGGTTTTGTTGCGCTTTCGCAGTCATGCACTGTCTAGAAGACCAGTAGGACAACAGCATAGCAAGGCCTCTAAAATAGCTGAAAGATGTTCACTGTTCAGCTATAGTGTCGCCTTAAATTATATCATTCAACTTGGAAGAAATATACTTTCAAATGAGCTCATAATCCAAGCAGATAGATCAGTCCAACCTAGAGCAATTCGCTCTTGATGTTTTGATTTGCCATATTGAGAAATTGGATTTCGGTCCACTTTCCAATCCATGCCATCCGACAGTGGCGCATGTGCAGTCGGTGGCAGCCTTGTACAAGTCACGTGCCATGGTGGTCAATCTCCAGCCCTGTAGTTGCGTATAAGCGACCACCAGACTAGTGACGTCATCGAGTGTGATCGAGGTTCTTGGTTTACGTCACTGTACTAAAATTAGAACATTACCGTACTCGACCGTTGGGGTTTCACTCGGCCGTGGTACAATACTGTCACGCGCGAATGACGTCACTTGAATCGTGTTGACTCTCAGTCAAGTCATTGGAAGACTTGTCTAGTCCTTTGAAGGCTGCAGTGCCATGCTACGTAGTGGATTTGTATCGATCCGCTAGTATGGTATCATACACGGTATTTCCAGTTTGTCCAAGAGATCACTCACGCCATTATTAAAAGAGAAAATCAATACTTGGCCATGTTTAGCTTTTACCAGGCAGAAACAAATGCCATACAACCCCCAATTTCCCTGTAGCGATTCAACCTTGCCATGATCGTCTCATGAAGGGGATTGTTGGCAATTAACATCGTCACAGGCCTAACATGGTGGTTGTAATCAGAAGAAAAATGGAGTTGATCATCATAATTTAGTATTCCTGCTATGGGAGGGGGTATAGACGATGGCGATGGGTGTGGCTCTGGGTCGTGCGACGTCATAGGCAGTCGGTCGCTTTACAGTACATTGTATTGTGTACGGAGAGGCTTTGTACTGTACAGTACAGTACAGTACAGTATTCCATTCCACAGTGTACAGTACAGTCTCTCGTCCAGTCAGACATGGACTGTACGGTATTGGACGACCTTCGACTGGACTGGCAATCCTGTACAGTGTACAGTATGACCAAAGGCTGTACAGTATAAAGGTGGACGACTGCCTTGCGACCGGACCAGTAGTCCTGTACTAGTGACACTTTAGTGCAAAGAAGAATCCAAAGGCGAAAAGTTCCCCCAGTGAATTTGGATATCCTTTGGCCTAATTTGACAGTAATAGTTGGAGTGGAGGAGAAAAGGGCGAAAAAATTCAAGAGTGCATCCAAATTGAGGGGAAAATGGCTGATCGATTTATTGTTTTAGCTTTAAAGAAAGCCGATTCCACCGATTTTTCCAAGCCGTTAGATAAATTCATTGCCAATACTTACGATAAAGAACGAGGTCAATTCAAGGGGCAAATTGACGAATTGCAAACTTTGCGTAATAATGCCACTAAGCGATTGGATAAGCATGAAAGTGCCGTACAAATGTTACTCAGGTGAGGAAAGACTCCAATAGCAATAACAGCATAACGATCTTTTCCAGGTTCTTGCATGCTACATTCAATGGTCGTAAAATAGGTCATGTTGATTTCCAGTCCCTTGGCCCTAATAGTAATGCGCAGTAGCGTACAGGACGACGGCGTCGAGTACAGTATTGTAGCTGAAAGTGGAAACAGGTTCACCCATTTTTCTGATGCAAATCTGGGTGCTAGACCTACACATTGCACTGGATGGATATTGGCTGCTTGCACCAATTCGATCGACTTTACTTTACATCCAAACCATGTAGGAAAATGGAATGATCGTATAGTAGCAATGGTGGTAGAGAAAAAGGTTCACTTCAATAGTGGAATATCTTTCTTTTTAATCGATGTTACTCAATGGTAGCCATGAGGAATCGTAGATGATAATCGCTCAACTGGGAGTTTTCTTTACTGCGATGCAAACACTTTGGCTTTGCCAACATAGATACAGTGTGTTGATATACCCTGGTACACAGTCACAACATCGTACTCTAGTTCAACCAACTGGGTAATATTGTACATCAATTTCTGCCTGGCAAAGCAATCAATCGTCTTTACAATCCATTCGACGCGTATAGTGATGAAAGCGATTACGGTAGTTTCCAAGTTCAATAGGAAGATAAAATAAGAGATAATGAACAATCATCATCCTCTCGTGGATAGTTCATTCCATCAAGCATATCCATCCATTAAAAATCACCTCTAGGCTATACGCAATAAACTGATTGTCATTCAAATAGAATGCAACGATTGCAAAACATAACAGCAAAATAACGGCGTATGAACTACCAATCAAATAGTGTTAATATTATTATTGACGAGCCCATTGAAATAAACACAGCAACTTTTAGACTGAAAAATCCGATATGTACAGTACGTGTCTATGGATACTGAAGCAAATAACTAGCACTTTCAAATTGAAGCCTAATGACGAGAGTAGCAACTTAAATAAGTCTTCAGTTTTGACATCGATCAACCCTGTATCAAGTCTATTTATAAATATTGCTTGCACGTTTTATTAACGATGATGCATGACTATTGTTAGAAAGAGCAAATAAATTGAAACTTGTACTCTAATTAGACTAGATTATCTTACACTCGTTGTAAATGCTGAAAGAGTAAACTAAAGCAGAACAACAATTCTACCCAAAAGAATTTGGCGTAATGTTCTGTTGTACATAGAGTGTCACTGAATGGTATCCTTATACTTCGAACATTGTAGATACTACGATCAATTGAATGTCATGGAAGCCAAGATGCCAGTGTCTGAGAGCGAGGTAAGAAAACTTCAACCGCAACCTTCAGTCATAAAATTCAATCTTCTCTACAAACTGTCGTACCGCAGTGCAAGTACAGTAGTAGATTTCCACCGCGATCAGTTCTACCCACTTTCTCTTATTGATCGCCTAGTCAGTTGCATTGATAAGATAAATATACTTTTTGCTCTGATCTAAAAATACTGATAAATAATAATATTTAAAATCGATGGAATATCGAAATTGAATGAACTAATTTATTCTATACGTGGACAGGTACGTGTAACGTTTACTTGGCAAGACGCTTTCGACAAGGGCAGCCTGTTTGGTACTAGAAAACATAGTTAGTATTTCTTTTATTCTATATAGACAGTACATCACTATTTAATTGCAACTTATCAACCTGCATGTTGAGTTACTATGCGCTATCGATGCTCGTTTGTGCACGAAACGATCAATCCATCTACTAGATTTGTATTGACAGGCCAACTATGACAATATTCTAACGTTGCCCAATTATACTTTCTCTCAAAGGTGCAAAGAGTTTGCCTTTTGAGAAATCTTGCGTTCTATTTAATGCAGCCGCACTTTCTAGTCAAATTGCAGTTACTCAAAATCTTGACACTGATGATGGCTTGAAGTTAACTGCTAAATACTTTCAGGTAGTAAAATTGCTTGTCTTGCATTTGAATAGCAAGTTATTTGAATTGACTATAACAAATTCTTATCAAATTGAATATCTAGACTGCAGCTGGCATCTTTGAATATTTACGAGAATATATTCCAAGCAATATTCCGCAAGGAACAACTCCAGATTTATCTATTGAATGCTTAACGGCTCTAAGTGCACTGATGCTTGCCCAATCTCAAGAGACATTTTATCTTAAAGCCAGTCAAGGTACCCTTTGCTTTCCCGGTTGCTTATCTTAGTTACAATCCGTACAATCCGTATACACAACTTTAAAGCTATCGCATCTGGCTCATAATGGATGAATTAGAAATCTTCTCATACAGTACTATAAATTTATTACGAAAATAATGCGCCGATCTCTATCAACTTGCTTTAGATAAAATGAAAGATGGAATTGTCGCAAAAATTGCCATGCAAACTGGAAATAACTATGCTGATGCATTCAAAAACATGCAAACACCTGGTGTACGTGCTTTATGGGAAAAGGATTGGCTACCTATGGTATCAGGTAAACAGGCAATGTATCACGCCGTGGCTGAATATCATCAGGCTCTAGTTGCCAAAGCTAGCGGGGCGATTGGTGAAGAATTGGCTCGATTAAAAGTTAGTACCACATTATTATTATTATGCTAGTGTACAAAACACCATCGTACATTAACGGTAACATCATACAGCGTATATATGCAACTAGCCTTTTGTGTGAATAAACTCACTACAGCCTGTCCCTAAGCTATGGATTGTAAATTTATTATTAATTCTTTTAGCACGCTAGCTCTTTAATGCAACAAGCTGAAAGCTACAGTAGCACACTCACCGATGCAAAGGTTTGTCCGACATAGCTTTTGCTTTGATTGTACTTTATGCAACTCTAAATTGAATATTCTGTACGCAGGATACTTTAATGACGATATCTCAATCAATTGTTTTCATAGAATTTGCGCAACAAGATTACTAAAGCTTATCAAGCTGCACAAAAGGATAATGACTTCATTTATCATGAATTAGTTCCTGACAAAGACAGAATTCCCGCCGTCCAAGGTGCAGCTATTGGCAAACCCATCCGCTTAAATAATCCAGCATCTGCAAATTTTAAAGATATTTTCGCTGATGTTGTTCCTCTAAACATTCACAATGCTGTATCGAGGTACAATGAACGTCAACAGGATTTGGTTACTTCCGAGCTTAAAAAGCTTACAGATAATACGCAACAATTAAAAAGGTCTTTTAAATTGTGCTAGAATACATGTTGTATGAATTGTATACAGTTTACTGTAGGGACGTTATTAATCTTTATCCATAATTGGCATTTTATAGTCTTTTAGCTGAATTAAATTTACCTGCAGCAATTGAAGATACTGGTGGAAATTCTGTACCACAATCGCTTTTAGACAAGTCTGCTGCATTAATACAAGATGGTGGCGTCCAGAAAATAGATAGCATGTTTAATGAACTGCCAACATTATTACAAAGAAATCAAGAAATTGTTACAGAGGTTTGCAGTTACAACGATACCTTCATTAGAATTCCTATTTACTTTCATTATTGAAAATAATTCAATACTTCCCGTACTTAAACATTTTTTAAGACCACTCGTATGATGGATGATGAAGAGAAAGACGATAAACAAATGCGCCAAAGATTTAAAGAAAAATGGACCAGAATGCCATCTGATAAACTCACAGCATCATTACGTATTGAAATGAACAAATATAAAGGCATCATTGAAAATGCATTGAAAGCTGATGCAATCGTGCGAGATAAATATAACAAAAGCCGTAATGCTATGATTGTACTTAGTAAGGGAGAGGTATGATCAAGCTGGTTTTGCTGTAGGTTCGCTATTCTTTGACTGACTATAATTCTAACCCATCATTTAGGTTGAATTAAAAAATTACATCCCAAAGACCGGAAGCGGAAATGCTGTAGCTAATAGCAAAGTGTGTACATACTAACATCATTTTTATACACTGTCATTGAACTATCAATAAATGTTGGTATTTAAATTTAAATTTATAGGCTGTCGTCAACATTAAACGCCTAATAGACCAAATTGATGGTATTATTGCTGAACGACAAGTAATTGAATCTGAATTGAAATCGGCTACCTGCGATATAAGTACATTTTAACTAATAGTGACTATTTATAGGAGAATTTATGTACAACTCATGGTTATTGTTTATTGATACGTCTGATATCCACGTTTTATTCAGCACCTAAATTTCTAGCAGCTTTAGCTGCTGATGGTGTCCTGCAAGATGAGGATATCTCCAAGCAAAATTTAGATAGTACTTACAATGTTTATGTAAACCAAATTGCCGATACCATCTCCAGACAACGAGACATTGAAACGCAACTCAGAGTGAGTTTCTTATGCCATCCTGAACATGTTACGATAATTCAGTGAAAGTTTAATTCTCTTCTAGTAATGAATTATAGTAATAACTAACGTTGCACCTACGAAAATTATTTATTACTATTTGTTGATCTAAAAATAGGCTGCAAACCAGGAATTTCTTGCCGAAAGGCAATCTCGCTCCGGAGCTAATAAACGAGAAGAAACGTTATCTGATTTGGCCGCCGCCTACGATGCTTTTACTGAATTGACCAAACATCTGATGGAAGGCACCAAAGTTAGTATCTTCGACTTTCTTCTTATAAACTTATATTACGAAAAGATATAATTGAAAATTGAATTTATAAATTACTCATTTGCTCTTTCGGTTTCTCTTTGATGCAGTTTTATAATGACCTAACTAATCTTTTGGTCAAAACACAAACAAAAGTTAGTGACCTTATCTTTGCTCGTAAAACTGAATTGCAAGGATTACTCGGGTATGTTATTTGTGATAATATTTTCTTGCTTATTATTTTTATGACATGTACCCTTCAATTACTAAATTACTAGTGTCCTTTTATCATAGGGATTTACAACAAGATCTATCGAAAGCTGACAACCAGACTCCATCAATCCCTAGTCATCATCAGAAGGCAGCAGCACCCCAAAGTAAGTAATAATTTCGGTTTACCGGCTAAGTACAGTAGTATTAGGTGCTATAGTTTATTATAATCTCTATTTAATCAGTTGATATTGCCCTTCTAGGTCTTAAACTTTACAATACTACTACTTTATCATAAGAATATGATTTATCAACCATTAACTGTAATTTATTGAATCATGCATGGATTATCAACCTTTCTGTATTGATAAACAACATTAACTATTCTCGCTAGGACCTCCACCACCGAGTAGCAGTGCGCCGCCCACATCGACTAGTTCCATTCCAGCTTCAGCTCAGCCTCCTGCTGCTGCACCTCAGCCAAATTATGCAGTTGCACCCCCTGCACAACAACCACAATATCCTGGTGCTCCTCAACCTATGTATGCTCCGCAAGGGCAGCCATATCCTTACCCAACACAACAACCACAACCTGGTCAGCCAATGCCTTATCAATATCCTTACCAGGGCCAACAGCCGGTTTATCCTCCTCATCCGTCTCAACAGTATGTTCCAATGCCTGGAACCTACCCTCCACCACCACAGGGTTATCCTCAATATCCTCAATATCCTCCACCACAGTAAAAGCAGTATAGATTAAATAAAGTGAAACGGTATCTGGGAAGCTCGAAAAACCATGACATTTTCTGACTTAAAGTTTTCATTGCTACGCAAGAACTTGTATTTCAGAACTGCTGGCGCCTGTTACGTTATTTATCCTATAATAGGCACTAGTAATTCCAGCACCTATCGCTTGGCTTGTTTTCGTATAAACTTGTTAATTAGCTTAGATTATCGTGATGTAATCAAAATACATCGATACAATCGTGAATCATATCTTGTACGATGCATTTCTGCAATAAAAGTCCATGTAATATATAGCAGCTTATATAGTTGATTTTCGCTATCTTAGCTAGCGTAAAATATTATTACATTTGTCAACAATTTCTTGTAGCTTTCAACTTTAAGATACGACGTAAGATATATATCTACACTATAAACTACAAAACAAAGCATTAGCTAAGGGTATTGCAATAGTCAATATGGCTAGAATATTTGCTTTCTCATTTACACATGAGTATATCCTCATACATAAAATATGCAAATGAAATTGTGATGTTGAATGACAAGAAGTACAATACTGTAAAAATTTTTACGGTACAACTACTTTTTATAATACCGAATATATTAATTAACTCATTGAAAGTGAGAATTATATTAATTTCAATAAAAAAGCTAAATTTAATGAAATTGCTCTTCTTTTGAAGGACTACTTACTGCATATCAAGCAAACACGTACCATTGTAAGTTAACACTCAGTGTCGAACACACCAGAGTGCTGCATCGACGAATTAAAGAGAAGAACATAGTAAATGTTTCATAAAGGCGATTTTGAGATGTACTGGTAACATTCCTTTAATACGGCACACTTATTCAAAACGGTAGTCACTATGGAATTTATTCTCTGTATTGAGTGTGATCCTACCTACGGTAATGAATACTATAGACAATCGTTCCTATTAGTCAGTTTATCAATCATCATGCCAATTTTCACCGAGGAGCCAACAGTTATTGTTCCATACAAGTGTTTTCCACGATCAAAAAAATCCCAATTATTACTTGCACTGTCGTATAATTTTATTAAAACAATCAATGTTTCAAAGGATTTAGGACCTATAGTAGATCATAGCAAGTACAACTGAAAAGGTAATACAAAAAAAAATCAACACTAAACCATCATCACTTTTAAAAAACTTCAACGAAACCATTCTGTTAGAGTAGACTGGGTTTAATACTGTACAGTATTTCGATGATGTACTACTACCATACAATGTCATGTACAGCATATTGCAATATTAGAATTGAGACTTTTACAAATTTATACTTAACAAAAACAAATAAATATTTTCAGGCCAGGGGCTTTTAACTTCTTTTCCAGTAGAACTTGCACAAAAGTAAAATGCATAAGAACTTCCACTGGAGTTAGATACATCAAATTGCCAAACCCTTGAAGACTACCATAGTGGCTTTTTATATATCAGTTAATATCTGTTGATGTATATAATGACAGCAAGCGCTATTGAATTCCTGTACATTTATAATTACAATCCAAACCTTACGAGGACTGAAGTTAGTCTTATCACTACAATTACATTTCTTCGTCGCTATTGCCAATAACTTCACCAAGTTCAGTTTCTATCTTACTCGCAAGATCACTATCCTGAGGAACTAATGCCGATTCACTATCGTCATTATCACAAGACTTGATTACTTCATCTACATTTTCATTGTCAGCCAGAGTGTCTTTCTTAGCGGTATCAGAATCGACATCCATAGCTTCTATTGCTTCCTCTGTCATATCAACGTCTTTTACTTCATCCGATTTTAATGGTTCTTCATTCTCTATTTCCTTCGAATTATCCGCTTCACTATCTACGCCTAATATAGCTTCAGTTTCCAATGATGCAGGTTGCTTTTCCTCATGATCAAAGCCTTTCTCACTTAGTGAACATATGGTTGGTTGAGTGTCTTCATCTGTCGATATTTGGGGGAGATCTTTCGCATCACTATCTTGTAAGTTCGCTTGATTTTCTTCATTATTTTCCTTTCTAATCGTTTCAAACGGCTTTACAGCCACGGGAGCACTCTTACTCGTAAACGTATCTGATGTGACAGTATTACTAGCCTTCGTTGTAGATGGTTTGACAATCTTTTCACCACGTAATATACTTGGTAAAATTTGATTTGTGCTGCTGGTAATGGAAGCTGCTGCTGTTTCTTTCGACAATGAATCAGAAGACTTTCCTGACATACCGTAAGATAAAATTATAGAGTTTGTTTCTGCAATAACTGGTTGAATGATAGAGCTAATATTTGGATTTAAAGGACTTGAAGGCAGAGGGTTTTTATACGATTGCTGGCTAATAGCCGCTCTAACCGGATTCTGACCAACAGTGGTATTTAACGGTCTAGCTAAGGTAGTGCCAGTGTTTTGCTTATTGTGAGAGCTAATCGAAGCTACATTAGGTTCAGTGATGCTATGTGATGCTGCAGTAAACGCTAGTGTAGAAGGAGCTATCTTCTGTTGTGTAATATGGGAAGCTGACAGAGTAGTCTTCGTTTGTGGTAAACTTCTCATGTTCATTGCCTGTTGCTGCATCTGTGCTGCGACAACGCCCTGACGAGTAATTGGCACTTGAGGTGATATAGAGGCAGGTAATGCGGATAACTGAGCAGTATTTACAGTATTCAACAAGGAATATTTATCCGATGATACAATAGTCTGCCGCAAAGAAGCAGTTCTAGCTTGATCTTGCGCAAGGTCGTATTCACTGTTATTTGGCGGTGGCAGCCTGCGCAATAAATAGAAAAATCATTAATATCATATCAAAACTCCGACACTGCCATTTTCATAGTATTTCGCCATGACATAAAACGCACTCGTGTCATTACCGGAAGGTTCATTACTTATGTCCATAGCGCCATTACCAACTGTAGTAACATTATCGCCATCTTCTTTCATTTTCGAAAATTCCTCTAAAAATAAATGCATATTTAACAGGTAGTCATAAAACATATTTAATTAAGAACCTTACGATTACCTATTGCAGCTTTAGCAGCAGCACTGGCAACACGAGGATCAACAATAGCCGCAAGAAAAGCCACTGTTGACATAATTGGATTACCAGATCGGCTGAAAGGTATAGGTTGGTTAATTAATGGACCTAAATAATTTGCAAATCATTGGGTTAAATGTTCATGAATGCACAATATAGTAGAATAACGTAAACAATACAACCTTTATATTTATCTATAGAATTTTTTAAATGCAGTATATCCTCTACCTAATTGCAAATCTGATTCATCCAAGTAAGGATCTTCAATTGGTAATCTCAAGAAATGTAAGATACATTCATCATGAGTTCGACTTCCGACATGGTTGGCTACCTTATTCCAGTCATCTTTATACATTTCTAGGCCCTAGTGTAGAAGGCGAAAACAATGCACAGATCAGTATTTAATGCTATAAAAATACACGTAGAGTAATAATCACCTCTAATAAAAGCAATGTTTCCTGATCTGTCCAGTCTCGCGATAAATGAGATAGTGCTTTCGACTATGAATAAGAGAAAGCGATCATATTACTTTGGGAGATGTCTATATATTGCTACACTTAAGATTGTACAATGCCATAAGAGTCTAACTTACTTTTTGTGCACTGGCTGCATATATATCAGTCTTGAGGCTAATTAGTAAATATATATGAATACGAACAAATTAATCTAACTATAAAAAAGGATGTGATATCTGCATTGGTTGTATTATGCTTACCCATAATTGGTTAGACTATCACTTTTATCCTGTCCTTCGCTTTTGGTAGTATTATTGTTAAAGGTTATCATTTGATCAACAGCTTTCTACAAATATTGGTTTATTAAGCAATGAGAAAATTTAGTAAAGAGTAAAAAGCTAGTTAGTATATAATTTTATGCATACGGTTGCAGGCTTTGGAGGCAATACAGGCTGTAAGCCAGATGGTGTATCAGCTAGAACATGAAAATGGGAGGTAGATGGTGGTCCCATAGGGCTAGGCTTTAGTTCTCTGTCGACTTGGTAATTAATTAGTCCCCATTGTTCCAGAAAACCGTGAACACTATGAAATAGATACAAATAACAGAATTAACACATGAAACAATTACTAAAACTGTCATTACCACTATTAACCGCTACTACAATCAGCTATTACCGTAAAATAGCGCAAACATCCCCGGCTAAATTCCTTCTGCATGCAGTGCATGTTAAATATTCTCCAGGATTAAGACGATATGTATCAACCATAAAATTTCGGTAAGCTGAATAGCTACAAAGTTAGATAAGTTATATTAAAAAGGTTGTTATCGCAATTTTATTTAACAGTAGGATTGTAAGAATAGGTAGGGTCTATCATCCATCTTAATTACATTTCAGGCGACTTAGATTTATTTCGGCCAGTAAAAAATTCTGGTAAGGCTCGTTTCTCAATAGCATGAACGCTAAAATTCAAAAATCATGATTTTAACTTAATCGCTCACAAAAAACGTAACAAGTTGCAAATTATTTTAGGTCTAGAGTGTCCGTACAGACTTACCTATTATAATCAAACCATGCCGAATAGCTCGGTATTACGATAACGTGTGCTTGTTCAACAGCTTCTATACGAAGGTCCTCTCCAGGCTGTACCGGTTCTAAAGCTCCATCAAGCCAAATTTCTCCCTGCTGTTTTAAAAATGAAAAATTTTTTTAAGCAAATATTACTGCTAATAAAGGTATATTGTTATTAATTCGGTAGAACCTTAGATGAAGATCGTACTACTGTGGTGCTTGTAGTAACGTTGGTTGCAGGCTTGGCTTTTATATCTAGATACATATATATAAACCACAAAAAAAATCATGAATAATCAAAAAATTTTGACGCTAATGAATCCGTTACTAAAATCATACCTGTACTTTCAATATTAGACGTATTCAATGCATTATCAGAACCAACTAAAATATTAGAAAGTAACGTAGTAAATATTAAATTTATCAGTAAAAATTAGTAGTTTCGTTAATTATAACTAGTAATTACCGCTGCCAATGTCCGTTAATTGTCCGCTGCGACTGGGGGTAAAATCACTTTCACGCGACGCTACGTGTTAGCATTCAGAAGTAAATTATCATATAGTTAGTGTACAATAAATCAACCCGTTTAATAATATTATTCGTGTCAATAACGGAATTAAATTGTTATCTAACCTTCTGGCGGAATTGCAACTTCCTTAACCTAGAATTGCGATAAAAAATTGCAACGTTAACAGAAAAAGACAAATTTTAAAGACTAAATTAAAGACTTACATTAGGAACAGGAGGGGGATTTTCCATGTCTTTCGTTAAATCTTCTGTAATAACACTATAAAGAAATAAGATTAATTGAGAATTACTTTCTACCGAATATTACAGGCAATATAAATTTATCTTTAATTTTCTAAATCTGAAGTACTTTGTAACAGATTGCTCTTCTGCTGTTATTTCTTAATCTGATTACCGTTAATCATAACGATAAATCCACTAATATGTATGTTATCCTTTAGCATCTACTTTCTATGTCGTGCAAACACGCTTTAATACCCTGCCAGGGTCACAACCGACCTGATTTTCTTTTTTTTCTTGGCATTTTCAGGTGAAGGCGACTTCTTTCTTTTTCGTACTGTCATAGTTAGACTTGGCGTTTCGGTAACCTTTAGATTTAGTCATAAATTACATATAAATATAATTATTGAGTCAGCAGTCATGAATATGTTTCATTACGTAACAGGAATGATTTCGCATGCATATAACCTCCATAGGGACATTTCTAGCACCTCGCCGACGTCCTCGTCCTACCATTATTAACGAAAAATATTAAATATTGATAAAAATATAATGATACAAACATAAAGTATCGTACCACGTCGCATTTCACTTTTACGTTTAGTATTTGCTTCTAATTCCTGTTATGAAATTATAGCGAAATCAGTAAATTAGTAACGACACAATGATTACTTTCCATACATGTAACTGAAGCTCGTAACAGAGTAATACAATATATTACAGGAGAATGCTGAATTTCCGATTCTCCATCCTGTATCTCATAATCTTCTTCATTCATCCATTCGTGGAAGATATCCAAATCAGTCAACCATCTACTATTTACCTAAATTAATTACATAGTAATCAACATTATCAATAAGGTACTGCAAAAGCTTAATATTTAAGCAGAGAAATCAATGAGTATACCCAGAAACTACGCAAAATCATATTCCTAAATTTTCTTTTATTACCTCCCACTGCCCAACATGAAGCGGCTGCGGTTCCGGTTCTTCTTCAATATCGTTTTCAGGGACCCAAGTATCATAGCTACAATACAACAAATTTTTGCCGCTGAGATTTCTCAAGTTTCCAATTATGTCAGGCATCGCTAAATTTCCTCATTTCTATCCAACTTACCTATCAGGAAAGTACCACCAATGGACTAACACTAAATTGTTCCTTTTATGCAAAGGTCTCAACCAATCCTCTACATGATGAGACAAAAATGTTCATTCAAACAAATCAAGATAGATTCAACTTCGTTACATTTACACCTAACTCTATCTCAAGAAATATACAGCAGTGATAGTAGTAAAATATTTTATTTCTAATATTAGTAACAGCTTATGGCAGTACGTATCCTGATTAATACAAAAACTATTGATTAATCTATAGAAATTAAATGATGCTTGTTGATATATTTGCTATGTCCACTGCACTAATTCACTTAGAACTAATGTATTAGCTTACTGTTCATTTACTCAACCGCTGTAAGAATTACGCAAGCTTTTATTCGTCTTGAGTAAGGAAACGTTTATAGTTCAATAAAAAGGACATAACATTTTTACTTTTTATACTTTCATTAAAATTATCCAATATATAATGTACATTCGAATCTCTCCTGACTTACGTTTTAATAATGATTACAAATTATGACTAATATATGACGCAATAAAAATGCAGAATCTATGCTACCTGTCGTTAGAACCAAGTCACTCAACGTTTGATCTACTTGTAAATAAAGCAAATCTAATTTTAGTCCCTTACCATCAGGAATTGGAGGCGGAGGTGGATAGACCACATGTGTGGCTACGTTTATTTGATCAACAATAGATCCCTATGTTAAAAGCATAATAAAGTTATGATGTAAAACATGAAGACATTGCGATATTAGCAATATAAGCAACAGCGCCTGTTTCGTTTCAAAATATTTATTTCAATCTTTCAATACTTACCTACAAGACTACTACATCATTGCTATTATTTATTGCACAATTAAATTTGATCATACATTCTGGATTACTACTCTATTAATAACCTGGTACTTTTTGACAATGGCTATCAATTTTTCCCTTAATTTTTGATCGACAGAATCAACAATGTAAACCAAAGGAAAGGTTAGCAACTTGTTCTGTAACAATATTTTCTGTATATTGATAAACATTTCGACATTGCGGTCAACCCGTGAGGGTGATTGGAAATCAAATCGGCGCCTACATGAGATAGGAGAGAGTACATACAATAACATTAACATGGATACTATGTTATCGTTGTTGCTTATGTCGATTCGGTTGCATCACGCACAAGAAAACAATATTGAAATTCAATATGAACGAAAACATGATGACCCTTTGGTAATAGCAAGAGTTTATTTACACAGCTATATATAACATGTAACGTCTATAGAAATCAGGGCATAACTGAATACTGCATCATAATAATGGATGCTAGTTTGAAAATCATGAAAGCGATCATAGGCATTGCAGATCTATCTTAATCTTGCCTCATTCACAGAAATGGTTTAAAAATACAGAGTACTCTATTAAAGCGACAATCACCTTTCCACATCTATGTTAATCTTACTCCATTACCAGAATTATGATCAAGCTATTGAAGATTTAATTAATTAAGAAGCGACAATCCTCTTTACAGTCTTATGTTCATCTTACTTCACATCATCAGCAATGATGATCAACATAGAGAAAAGTAAATTGCAAGCGACAACAGTTGTATTTTGTCTTCTACCGTTTACCCGGCAGATACTATTTAAAACACTACTACATCTATACTGCAATGAAATTGTGTATACGCGTATCTATACGAGCGATTAGGATTGTTCATAAATCAAGTTTATCACTGATGCTGCTTGCCAATTATAATTAAAGGATCCATGGTATCGAGTACTGCTAACCTATTTATTGAAGATAAATTATAAAAATGTAGCCATTGCTCATGCTGGTTTCGATTTACTATTCAATACAGTAGAGTGGATTGTTTCAACTGGGTAAAGATGATGATAGCATGAGACTGGATCAGTGTACACAATACTCTTCTTTCTTTTAGAAATTGCATCCTGTAAATTAATCCAACAGTACTATGATATCCAATGAACATACCATCCTTGTTCAACTTTCCATTTGTAGGCTGTCGCTAGGATGTGGCATAACGATCCGCCAGGTGTATAATTATAGAATAACTTAATCTAGAAGGGAAATGATATCGCATTCAGAAAATAGTATTTCTTCATTATTGTCAGTAAAGCAGAGTAGTGGCAACAACTTTGTACAGTACTGGATCAATAGTATAAGTGAAGAGTTATCCTTCCGATATTGAACGACGGTAATCTCATAAGCTAATAGAGTTCAATCAATCTTTGATGTGGAATTTAGCATGATACTCCCTTACAGGTAATTTAGGCAACGGAGGATTATTGGATCCTTTACCAAAAGTATCCTATCCATTGAAGGGTAGAAAAATAAACCGTTAAGCAAGCTTGCTTGCTTCCTTTAGAATCATTGATGACCATCAGTAATAGATGATCGAGTTGAAACCTAGCATGGCATCACCATCACTAGTGGATACTAATAGTATGACAACATGAGTGAAATTCATGACAATAGGTGATATCGAGAATGATTTTGCATTTTCTACTTTGGCTAATCCATGACTGCAATTTTTCTTACCTCTTGGAACTGTAGTAAGTTCATGGTTAACGTAGCCAAGGTTTTATTGGTGACTGATTCATTCTGCAAGTACTAAAATGTGAATGAATGATGATTAGATATCCATGTGAATAGAGCATGCAAAGAGATGCAAATTGGCCAGCACAACATCCAGTAGAAAAGTAGCGACAGTCATCCTGTTGTCTTGAAGATGACTCTCTCTCTCTCTCTCTCTCTTGACCTATCGACTACATTGTACTTTCTTGTAAGTTAATCTTTCCTCTTCTATCCTCGCTCTTATTAAACAGCACTTGTTCTACATCATTCTACAACTGCATAAATAAGCTTTATCATAGCAGAAGGAAAAGACTGTCCTCATCCTTCTCCATGAATATTGTATCAAGCCTTTTGTCTCCTCAAGACAGTAGGTACACAGAGTAGTGGACAGTAAAATTCAACCACGTGTAATGTATAGGAATGGTTGACTGCCAATAGACAAGGTAGAAAATCAATTTAACTATCCATCTCTTTACCTTTTTGTAATTTTTAGCTAGCCATTCTCGTAATACTTCATATTTAGCCAGAGTATCGCCCCATTCGAAATATTTTGGATCAGGTCCACCGTCTTTCTTTCTTGCCGCCATTTTTGTAGCGATTTTATCCCTAGTGGACAACGGCAACGGAATTGGGTATTACTGTGCTGACTGCGCAGGCGTATAAAGACACCAGAATGGCTGTTTGGCGTGGATAAGATACCGTCAATCTTGCTAGGAGAATCGTATAGTGTATCCTTATCCGTGAGATCGTGTTTGGGTAATGTACGTAACGATAGCACAGTACAGTACGGTACGCTACTAGCCACTGTAACGTTGTTCAGTACTGTACACTGTACACTGTACACTGAGTACAGTACACTACTGTACTGTACACTGTAGCCCAGTGCTTTGCACTGTGTCCTCACGCTCTCTTTGTGTCTGCGCTTCTCAAATGCATTCCATACCAAACTCTGTTATTCTTTTTCTTGTTTGGTGATAACGATAGAGCCCAATATGCAGTATTGACTACCTTGCTCTACTACAGTATATACTCTAAAAAAAGAAACGGGCCGGACCGGACCGGACTGACCGTATCAGCAGCGGCTACTCAAATTGAAACCCTGGATACAATTTTTCGCCATCAGGCTTGATAGCGATTCAAGCTGCTCAAAAGTCTTGGCACCAAAATACGACAAATTTCTATAGAAACAACGACACTGATTATGAATTCATCTACACAATCTTATACCCTAGATACAATTTTTCGCCATCCAGGCTTGACAGCGATTCAAGCTGCTCAAAAGTCTTGGCACCAAAGTACGACAAATTTCTACAGAAACAACGACACTTATTATGAATCCATCGATATGACATGAATAATCTTATATAAATAAACCTTGGATACAATTTTTCGCCATCCAGGCTTGACAGCGATTCAAGCTGCTCAAAAATCTTGGCACCAAAGTGCTACAAATTTCTACAGAAACAACGACACTTATTATAAATTCATCTACACAATCTTATACCCTGAAATCCTGGATACAATTTTTCGCCATCAGGCTTGATAGCGATGCTAGCTGCTCAAAAGTCTTGGCACCAAAATACGACAAATTTCTACAGAAACAACGACACTGATTATGAATTCATCTACACAATCTTACACCCTAGATACAATTTTTCGCCATCCAGGCTTGATAGCGATTCAAGCTGCTCAAAAGTCTTGGCACCAAAGTGCGACAAATTTCTACAGAAACAACGACACTTATTATAAATTCATCTACACAATCTTATACCCTGAAATCCTGGATACAATTTTTCGCCATCAGGCTTGATAGCGATGCTAGTTGCTCAAAAGTCTTGGCACCAAAATACGACAAATTTCTACAGAAACAACGACACTGATTATGAATTCATCTACACAATCTTATACCCTAGATACAATTTTTCGCCATCCAGGCTTGATAGCGATTCAAGCTGCTCAAAAGTCTTGGCACCAAAGTACGACAAATTTCTACAGAAACAACGACACTTATTATGAATCCATCGATATGACATGAATAATCTTATATAAATAAACCTTGGATACAATTTTTCGCCATCCAGGCTTGACAGCGATTCAAGCTGCTCAAAAATCTTGGCACCAAAGTGCTACAAATTTCTACAGAAACAACGACACTTATTATAAATTCATCTACACAATCTTATACCCTGAAATCCTGGATACAATTTTTCGCCATCAGGCTTGATAGCGATGCTAGCTGCTCAAAAGTCTTGGCACCAAAATACGACAAATTTCTACAGAAACAACGACACTGATTATGAATTCATCTACACAATCTTACACCCTAGATACAATTTTTCGCCATCCAGGCTTGATAGCGATTCAAGCTGCTCAAAAGTCTTGGCACCAAAGTGCGACAAATTTCTACAGAAACAACGACACTTATTATAAATTCATCTACACAATCTTATACCCTGAAATCCTGGATACAATTTTTCGCCATCAGGCTTGATAGCGATTCTAGTTGCTCAAAAGTCTTGGCACCAAAATACGACAAATTTCTACAGAAACAACGACACTGATTATGAATTCATCTACACAATCTTATACCCTAGATACAATTTTTCGCCATCCAGGCTTGATAGCGATTCAAGCTGCTCAAAAGTCTTGGCACCAAAGTACGACAAATTTCTACAGAAACAACGACACTTATTATGAATCCATCGATATGACATGAATAACCTTATATAAACCTTGGATACAATTTTTCGCCATCCAGGCTTGATAGCGATTCAAGCTGCTCAAAAGTCTTGGCACCAAACTGCCACAAATTTCTACAGAAACAACGACACTTATTATAAATTCATCTACACAATCTTATACCCTGAAATCCTGGATACAATTTTTCGCCATCAGGCTTGATAGCGATTCTAGCTGCTCAAAAGTCTTGGCACCAAAGTGCCACAAATTTCGACAGAAATAACGACACTTATTATGAATCCATCTATATGACATAAATAATCTTATACCTTGGATACAATTTTTCGGTATCAGGCTTGATAGCGATTTAAGCTGCTCAAAAGTTTTGGCACCAAAGTGCGATAAATTTCTAGGGAAAAAACGACACTTATTATGAATTCATCTACACAATCTTATACCCTGGAATCCTGGATACAATTTTTTCACCATTAGGCTTGATAGCGATTCAAGCTGCTCAAAAGTCTTGACACCAAAGTGGGACAAATTTCTACAGAAACGGCGACACTCATTATGAATCCATCGACACAATCTTATACAACATCCATTAAGCGGTGTAATACCATACTAAATACCGTCAATTCAGTAATATGGACATTTTCTTGCCTCATTTTATCCGGACTGGTAGCACCATTGATAGGCAATGGACACCAGTAACAAGGATAAATGATGAAAATTTCCATTTTCACGAATTACCATTCCATAGTCGTCGATTCAATGACCCGCATTACGTGCTGTACAGCACACTATAAACGTACCACTATCGTGCATCAAGGAATAGGATTCATTTACAGCATACTGCATATTGTACAATAGTCGTCCAGTTGATTTCTGTTTCCATACTGTACAGTATTTATAGTCTAGTATAATGAGAGAGTTTACAATAATTAAAGTCTACCCCCATATTGCAAATCGTTCATAAAGACGATATCACCATCTCTACTTACCTGATACAGAAAGGATGGATATAGTACTGCTGTATTAGAAGCACTAGCAATAAAATGTAGCATAGAGTATGTACAGTAGAGAGAGGAATACCCCTTTCTTAGTATATAGTCTGAATAAAAAACTGAAATAGACTATTTCCCAACTATTCACAGTGTTTGATAAAATAAACAGCTACAGTATAGCTTGATGGTATAAGGATACTGACGCTAGCTATGATAGTCTTCTGCTCCCATCTCATCATTCTACGTCATGACCAAATCTACACAAAGGAAGCCATTCTATAGTCTACGAGATAGACCAAGACAATAAAGCTATTTGGCATTTTATTATATATTATATCATAACTCAATATAAATTAAATCCAACAAATTATACACATGCAAGATTGCTTTGGTATTTAATTGATAAAATCACAATATTTAAAACTTAATGATACGTCATAAATTGATACATGAGTATCAAAAAGTTATTTAACAAAAATACTACACAAGTTGGATTGACGGTCGTAATAATCATTATTAAAATGATATTTTGCCTTACGAAGAAGAAATAAAATAGCATCATCCAATAAGATGAATGATTGATGGACATGGACTAATCCCATTACAATCTATAGGCATATTTCAGCATGACAGCATAAGAGGAAAATTATTTTACGCTCACATAAATAACATATTGCTATATTAGGGATTTCCACTGATAACATCCATTACAAATAGCTCTTGACCCAATCCACAATGGCCTATTTTTCCACAAAAAAATATGTATGTAAATTGAATATCAATTTTCAGTTTGAATAATATCTTTGTCACATTAATGAAATTATGGAACCTTTATTCCTTCTGCTTGATGGCTGCAAAACTGTTCTACAAATTCACGAGTGAGTGGCTTATCAGGTCCAATATTGATACTTTCATTTAGAGCTAATGTACCTATCAATAGATTATCAGCCAGATATTGTTTTATTTTATTGTTGGTAATTACTGAGCATTTTAAACGCTATCAATTTAAGTAGATAGCAAAATGGATACCTACCGTCAAAGTCTATGTAACACAAACGGACAGTGAGCTCTTTCAAGGGGCGAAGAAACGCTGGTCCGCCAGCCATAACCTAATAAGAGAAAGGTGAGGTCTCTATCATTACCATGCATTGCATAGGAATCGATCGAAAAGATATGACAATGAAATCTTAGTTGTTCGCCTTCTGCTACTGTAAAACGTAGCACTAAATTATAATTTGCTACGTATGACATAATATTTTTACATCAAATCACAAGAGAAGTAATATTGCGCAATAATCTGCTGACATAACGCTAAATTTTGTCAACTGGATATTACAATAAATAGCCTACAGTGCGTACTTTATGTACTTTATATATCGTCAATAACAATAATTTAGAATTGTCGATATCACTTACCACAACGGAACGCTTTTGAAACAAGTCCTCACACATTTCTTGGCAAGTCGTGATATTATTTTTCTCCAAGCCTGGTCTGATTACCTAAATGCGTATATTATACAGCACTAAATGTTATACACACCTTACATCTATAAAATGCTTGTGTAGATGTTATTTAAATAGATAAACGTAACGAGAACGCATAAATCTTGCTATGTATGCTTCATTATATAGTTGATTCAACTACTCTGCGATCCTTAGGCTTCAAGTCAAAGAACACCACCACTCACCTCAAAATCAGGTAGCATATAAAATCCACCAGTTGATTGTATACACTTTACGCCAACACTTGTTAGCTGCCTAAATGAACAATTTGGAATATCACGTTACTGAATAACCATATAGCAAAACAGATATTTAAAAATATAGCATGCTTAATTATGGGTAAGCACAAACAATGAGACTACTTATGCTATGTTATACATCAAGCATGACTGAATTTATCTAGCCGCAAGCGTTACTGCAACTCCCGATAGGTAGTACAATGCATGTATAACAAATATAACGTTTAAACAAATTCGTCGTATTAGTCTATAATAATTATTAACGTATCATCCAAAGATATAACTTGTCAGCCAATATCATTACTCGATAATCGTCAGTCGTCCTGCGTAAATACTGTTTTTTTTAGGTCGACGATAGATCACTTAAAGATATCATTTATAACCAAGAGTTACTTACTCATAGCAGTACTTAGAAACCGCTTCCAAAATACGCTTAATATGATATATATATGTATCACAAGCTTCAAAATTTTGTAAAACCTGTAGACATTAAAGATATAATTATTAACTTTTTGCCACAATTATTATTATCAGGTTATTACAAATAATTTACTATAGAGAAAGTTCTATAGTAGCGCATAGAAAAGAACGCTAATTTCGTTAATCATTTTAATTACATCTGCTACGGCATATTGAATAGGGGCAGAGGTGCATGAGTATGTGTGACTGCCAGCGCTTCTGACAGCACTTTGCACTTCAGCTAATTCTTTCGGATATATTGCGTAACCAACCTAGATACATGTTAGTCCAGTTACCGTAATTTGTTACTGTAATAATATGACAAGAAAATCTAACTACGACTTACCCGCCAACCTCCAAGGGAAGCCCATTTTGATAAGCCTGACATTAAGATCGTGCCTTCTTTGTAAAACTAGAAAATAAGATCAATATCAAAACGCTAACTGAGCTAGGAATCAAAGTACTATCCCAGACAATTGATATTATATTAAATACCATAATACTATCTATCTCCATAGGTCAAGAAACATATCTCCTACTCCAAGTTACCTTAGCAATGGAAAGGTGAGCATTTTTATAATTTGTCCTTCCGTAAATTTCATCTGAAAGGACGATAACCGAATGCTTTCGCAGGACTTTACTGTTAAGATTTAACGATTAAATCAACGATTTTACGAGTAGCAATTATAATGATGTTGATATGTGCTACACGATATTCACAAGTATTCAAATATTATAGCTACGATCGATAAATGAGCAACAATATAGCAGTAGTGCCGTATTTGCAAGAATACTACTGTGCAGCAGTTAATCGTCTCTAATACTGATTATAAAATATTTTCTGACCTGAGCTCTGTTAGTTGCTGCTCTGTATAAGACGTTCCGGCTGTGTGTATGTAAGAATACGTTTAGTCAATACAGCAAATTTAGCATGCTGCAGTATATTCATTTCAATATTTACATAATGACTACAGTACTGTAATTATTAGAAGTACAATAAATTTCTTAATTACTGTTTTAATTTGCTATGTTGCATACTGGGATTATCTGGATTGCAGAAAATTAGTACTTTATTGGCGTTGGTGCATTGTTCGTTAATGGCCTAGACGATCAAGATATATTTATAAACATTATGAAACAATTGTTCTGATTTTATTCCTTTTCAATAGTTTATCGCGGATTAAGATGTTACTAAATTAACCTATAGTTATCCTTGTTCTTGCTCAAGGGATAGTTTATAATTGTACGTCATTAAAATATTTTACTTATTATCATGGTAATATTGATTACCTTGTCTAAAATTTCTGGGGTTAAGCGCCATTCATCTTCAAAGCGAGAGCTTAAGATAATCGATTTCCTTCCCGCTAGTTTACTTTGTGGTAAATAGGTTGTCCAAGTTGGAGATGGAACTATGATATCTATGGAAAATGAATTATGATATTAGCAAAGGAAATGGATGTATTCAAGTTAACGAGTATAGAACGACATCATCGTCGCCTTCTCTCTAAAACAATTAAACGATATCGACAATTTGGATTTTAAAAGGTAACGACAAACCTGCATCCATAACAAGCATTGTTAAAAAGAGTAGTTCCTTACTACCAGGAGCTACAATAATTTGGTCAGCAGAAAAATCGAGTCCATCATAGCGTTTATGGAAGCTAGCGATAGCATTACGTAATTGCTCAATACCTATTGAAAGAGATAGCCAGTTGTAATTTATTTGAAATTGATTCTATAATTATTAGACATGAGCGATTTCATGATACAAATTTGATCAGACTGAATACAAAAATCCTATCGAAGTTAAGGTATCACACAGCTAATAACGACATTGATTGAATAATTATAAGATCCTGGCTAAGTTATAATTACTTTACATACGCGCCCAATAGAAGAATGGATAAAGTAGCTGAGAATACTATAGTAACCGACGACTCTGACAATAATATAATCCTTGCCAACTTGTAATTACCTTGAATGTGCATGTATTAGGAGAATCGAAAAAGCAATTATGGATACGATAGTAATCGACGATGCTAACCATGTTTGCTAAGTTTAATGGCATGTGCGTATATAGTATGATAACCTAAGAAGTAGCTGAGATTACTACAGTTGCTGACGACGCTGATAATTATATAATGACATTATTTGTGCCAAGTTTACAATTACTTTGCATACGTGTACACGAAGATGATTTATGAAGTAGCTTCCAACACTACTGCTAATGATGATGGTTATCCCTTGCCAAGACTCAAGAGATTGCTTTGTGAGCATTTATACGTACTTAGGATAATATAGCTGAGGATTCTGAGTTATATAACAAAGTCATAATGCTTGCTAAGCTAAGATGACCTAGCATGCGAGTCTATTTCTAATAATACGAGTATTTATTGACACTATATATCCTTGAAAAACTTGGATACAGGTCTACAGGCTTGAATTATAATACGAGCAATACCATGCATTACAAGTATCTGCAAAAAATCATATGCCATCTGAAATGATCACTTTGAAGTACTCATTGTTGTGCAAGTGTTATTTTCAACCAGATGTAATAAAAACACTTATAGACATGATTAAATCACAGACTAAAAGGTAACTAGTTACAGTAGCAGTAAATCTATAAAAATGATGGGAGTCGTTAAGAACAATATTGACTTATTCGTAGTAGAACAGCAGGTGCTTGTTTCAGCAGCAATAAACAGGTCAGGACAATCAATAGTAAAGCAGTCCAATGAAGATTTTATTACTACTATCTATTCTGGTAGCATTTGATCAAATAAAGTTGGTCAATGCCATTGACAAGTATTCAATAACGAATATCATTACCATTTTGCCTAGCCATAAACTATTGTATACGAAGCAATCAAAACACCCTTATGTCAATAATATAGTACCACTTGAGCTCAGCCTATGAGTTTTAGTCATCAAATGAACTTGAATGCTTTTAATAATAAATATTTCGTGTAAATTGGCGGTATATTGCATCACATTTTAATTTTTTATTGACCTTTATGCATACGTAAAATCGACAATATGTTTTACTGTACAGTATGTACTGTAGTAGTGTGCGAAAGCCATTATTCTAACTTGTGAAATTAAATCAATCGATTTTATTCCTTTTCTGTACAATCCCCCCCCCCCAAAAAAATGACAAGAAATTATTCCAAGTCTATCAGCTTAAATAGATTCAATTGCTTAGTCAAGGTAGATCTCCATTTCTCAATAGTTACAACGCAATATTAGCGAAAGCACACATTGCATCTCCTCTTATTGGTACACTTTATAATTTCCATCCCGTTTTTACAATTCAATCAAGCAATGACGTGATTAAAGTTGGTGGACTGAATTTTGAGCTGTTCAAATTCGTATAACTCTTTCTATCCCCATCTATTTTACGATTTCAGTAGTTAGCTGTATAGAGTCGGTATCCACGCGTACTAAATAAGCTAAATAGTTTGATATTTCGATAGCATTGCCGTGAAAAAATCGTCCCTTACGCGCATGATTTAAATAAGCTTGCAGATTGAAAATTTCGATAGCGTTACAGTGGAAAAAATCATCATTTGCACACATGATTTAGGATCAGCTTCACAGCGAAAGAGTAAACTTGCAGGGAAATGCTTCATGATTTGCATCTTGTTTTTTTAGTTGAATAATATCATGGATATTCAATTGAATTCTGAGCGAATTATAGGTTAAGTCATTTATCACATATCATGATCGGTTTATTATAATATAATTTATAATATTATTGGTATCCACCCATGTTGAATAAGCTACATACGTAGATCAAAGTTTACACATGGTTGAAATAGCGTTTGCAGCAGAAAAGAATCGACATGATGATTACATTCGTACAGTGTATGATTTAGATCAACTTGGATAGCAAGAGTGCAACCTTGCACGGAGATGTTTCATGATTTTACATCGATTGCAGTATTATAAGTTCAAAGATATTGTAGATGATGGGGATGATGGAATTCTGAGCCAACTAAAAGTCTAGGCATTCATCAAATCACAATCGATTAACAATGAAAAGTCGTAGCAGTTATGACGATAACTAGTCGTGTAAAATTGAAATCGACGTGTACTACCAATATCATGACTTGTAAGAAATAAAAACATACAGTAGGTGTAATAAGTTTAAGTGATTTTTAAGGACAAGTCCGCTAGCATGAGACAACCTTGCCAATATCAAGAAATCAAATATGAATGCTCAACAAATTCAAGTTGAAGTAGTATTTAAGGAGAATTAAAGTAGTATTACAGTAATATTTAAAGTGGTGTTTAAGTCTCTTTCAACATTGTAGCACCTATTCTATCATCATCGATTTGATCATATCATGTCGATAGCTAGCCTTATAAAATGGGCTATTGACGCAATTATGCCTACTATGAGTGTCTCTAATTCGATGTATATATTATTAATTGAATATTATCCATGACCATCCGTCCACGAATGTACACAGTCTTACTATTGATGAAAATCGATGTAGGTATACTGTATTGCATTGCTGCTTCTATGGCTATCTGTGGTCGATTGTTCATCCATTTGGCTTGCATTATTTCTGTTTAGCGAGAAAGAATTGACTACATCAGATTGCATCGCCATTCTTCTTGATTCATTAATGATCATAGGAGTACCCTAGCTATCCGTCCTTTCGATAGTCGAATTATCTCACTATTGATGAGGATCGATTGGTCACCCATTCATCCACTGCAGTAACTTGGACTACTCTCTCGATACAATTGAACTTGTATTACTTACATTGTTGATTATGGTAAGACGTGAGAAAGAGTAGGCAGTACTACATCAGATTGCATCCTCGATCTTCTCGATTGATCCTACGACCACTGCAGGTATCTGTTGTAGATGCAATGATGCAGTCGAACTGTCTTACAGCATAGAGGGGCACATCTATGGATGAGGAGCGAACTACACTATGTTGTATCGGCTATCTGTGATCGATTGGTCAATAATGGTCATCCATTTATCCATGGAAAATCCATTGCAGTAACTTTGACTACTCTCTCAATACAATTTGATTTGCATTATTTCCGTTCCGGTGAGAGAGTCCACTGCATTCTCGATTGGTCATCTATTTATCCATGGAAAATCGATTGCAGTAACTTTGACTACTCTCCCAATACAATTTGATTTGCATTATTTCTGTTCCGGTGAGAGAGTCTACTGCATTCTCGTTCTACACTAGAATGAGAATATCTCGAAAGCAAATACGAGTACGTCGTCTACTCCACTTGTCTGTCATCGTTGGAGCTCGATACTTGGCCTACAACCCTATCATTGCTGTCATGGACGGTTTTTTCACACTATTTGTTCACTCAACTCTACTCTCTCTCTCTCCACTACTGTACTCAAGCAAGATATTCCTTACCAGTAACGGCCAAATACTGGTTGGCACCAGCATATTGGCTTAACTTTTGGCAAAATTCTTTCATCACAGGAAAGGGCGATTGACCAAATCCGAAGTGATAAATATTCTTGCCTTCACTAATCATGCGTTTAATCTCTTCATTCAGCTGCAAATTGGATGCTGGTGCGTAATTTCTTAAATCAGCTCGAGTCAGTGGTGGCGACTTGTCCATCTTTCCATTAAGATTGGGCGATCTTGTAAACGATGCAAATCAATCAATGAATTAATCCAACACTTCCCAAATGGCGCTGGCCAACATTCAAAGTTATTTGATGATCAAGCTGCCGACGGATACGATTCTTATAGGCGATGGCCACAGCTGATGGCTTGGCCAACGAGGTTTAATGCGCATCCTCCAACACGCCATCGCCCCCTGTAAGTAACTTGCAAGGGGCGATGGCGTGTTGGAGGATGCGCATCAAACCTCCTTTGCCAAGCTCTAGTCCATACTTCTGTCGTTCGGTATACTTGGCGTGAAATGGCGTTCATCGTAGAAAGATTGCATAAATGGAGAACTTGCAGTTTCAAAGGGCTATAAATCATGGATAAAACTGGCATAAATCGAGATGTAGCAGTTTCAAAGGGCTGTGAAATGCATGGCATAAAACTGGCATAAATGGAGATGTAGCAGTTTCAAAGGGCTGTAAATCATGGATAAAACTGGCATAAATCGAGATGTAGCAGTTTCAAAGGGCTGTAAATCATGGATAAAACTGGCATAAATGGAGATGTAGCAGTTTCAAAGGGTTGTAAATCATGGATAAAACTAGCATAAAATTACAGTATAATGTTGTAGAAAGACTGCATAAATCGAGAACTTGCAGTTTAAAAGGGCTGTAAATCATAAATAAAACTGGCATAAATCGAGATGTAGCAGTTTCAAAGGGTTGTAAATCATGGATAAAACTAGCATAAAATTACAGTATAATGTCGTAGAAAGACTGCATAAATCGAGAACTTGCAGTTTAAAAGGGCTGTAAATCATAAATAAAACTGGCATAAATCGAGATGTAGCAGTTTCAAAGGGTTGTAAATCATGGATAAAACTAGCATAAAATTACAGTATAATGTCGTAGAAAGACTGCATAAATCGAGAACTTGCAGTTTAAAAGGGCTGTAAATCATAAATAAAACTGGCATAAATCGAGATGTAGCAGTTTCAAAGGGCTGTAAATCATGGATAAAACTGGCATAAATGGAGATGTAGCAGTTTCAAAGGGTTGTAAATCATGGATAAAACTAGCATAAAATTACAGTATAATGTCGTAGAAAGACTGCATAAATCGAGAACTTGCAGTTTAAAAGGGCTGTAAATCATAAATAAAACTGGCATAAATCGAGATGTAGCAGTTTCAAAGGGTTGTAAATCATGGATAAAACTAGCATAAAATTACAGTGTAATGTCGTAGAAAGACTGCATAAATCGAGAACTTGCAGTTTAAAAGGGCTGTAAATCATAAATAAAACTGGCATAAATCGAGATCTTGCAGTTTAAAAGGGCTGTAAATCATGGATAAAACTAGCATAAAATTACAGTATAATGTCGTAGAAAGACCGCTGAAATGGAGAACTTGCAGTTTCAAAGGGATGTAAATTATGGATAAAACTGGCATAAATCGAGATCTTGCAGTTTCAAAGGGCTGTAAATCATGGATAAAACTAGCATAAAATTACAGTATAATGTCGTAGAAAGCTTGCATAAATCGAGATCTTGCAGTTTACAAGGGCTGTAAATCATGGATAAAACTGGCATAAATCGAGAACTTGCAGTTTCAAAGGGCTGCAAATCATGGATAAAGCTAGCATAAAATTACAATATAATGTCGTAGAAAGACTGCATAAATGGAGAACTTGCAGTTTAAAAGGGCTGTAAATCATAAATAAAACTAGCATAAAATTACAGCATAATGTCGTAGACAGATTGCTGAAATGGATAACATCTTCTGAAACCAGCTTTAAACTAGGCTATAAAATATCCTTGAATGTATCATTCCAACTTTATAACATGACTTCATTGATACATTTATTAATATTTATCTAGGCGTATTTCATTGCATAATCAATCCTCTTTCTTCATACGAATATCGAGTAAATCACTCACAAGGTCCAGTATCCAAATTACATATACAATTGACGCTGCCATTTCTTCTAATAATATGATGTTATACATACTGTACGTCGTAGAGAGTATAGACGATCAGAAAAGTCCATCTCTAACAATCTAGAGTGCATTCAATGAACACTTGCATTTCTTATTATCGATGATATTGCATATCATAGAGAGAGAGAGAGAGATGACCGGTTCAAAATGTACATTTCTAGCCATCTCAAGCGACATCCGCATATTCAATCAATACTGCCATTTGCTATAAAGATAAAGATATTGTTCTGCCTGTTTTCGATCATATCCTAATACGCAACAGCTATGTGAGGATAACAGAAAGACGTGCTAAAATGGCGAATGTTTAGGGTCTTTATGCTTACGATAGGGTCGTCAGGTATGCGAGTGTCAAGTGAAGGAGAAATGTTGACCTCGATGCTGTTGGAATGAAAATACAAAGACTTGTCAAAGTATTTCCGACTATTCAAAATATGGAAAGTTGCCTAACATGTACAAGCCAGAAGGAAGCGACTTTAGAAATGGTAGTAAAATTTGCAATTGGGATGGACATTGTATACCTGCAGTTGGAATTAGAGTTACTGTAGTTTTATCGCTATACTTTTGCCTAAGTTATTGCGGTATTTAGGTAAAGCTCTTTTGGCAGCTATGTTGGTATTCTTTGTTGCTAGCCTCTTCATTGACTACCTGTTATAAAATGTATCTTTCTTTTCCGTCTTACTGTTTATCATGTCTCTCTGTTTTGGATATTTCCTTAATGAATCAATTATTTTACTGGTTATTTTAACAGTGTCGCATGTCTGTAACGGTATATTATGCTGGACTGTTTGCAATTAGTATCCAAATTAGCTGCCATTAGCCTGCTGAGTTAGTTTTGTGCAATATGATAAACGGTTTCATCGGTATCGTATAGTGGAATGATCGATAAAAGGATAAGTTTGAACATTATTTTGCATGGAAGGCTGTCCAGTATTTCTTTCTTTTTAGTAGTCTTTTAATGTGTTATCATAAGACAAGGTAATGAATTACTAAAATAAGGGTATTCTACGTTATTACGGCTATACGATTAAAATGCAGCCAATCCTAAATAAAAAGAGAATTTTTAGCAAGCATACTAGGCGGAGTGTATCAAGTCCCTGGTGCCAACGTTAACGACTAAAAATGGAAACACAACGGATAGAAGCCATTGTCAAGATACACTATTTACAGTCATGGACAACTAGAAGAAGACCTGGACTGATCACTCTAGACGCACAGACACTTTTGCTCTCATCTCGTTCAAATATTATGCCAAACAGTTCGTTATGACAGTACTTTAGCTTGGAGACGATTTATTCATACTAGTGCAAACTCCCGTCGCTTTACTAATGGTTTACGATAATGTGCTCATTTAACAGAGGTTCAGTAACTTTATATTGGAAACAGTTCTATATAAGATCGTCGATGTTATTGAAATGAGTACCAGTGATTGAGAAAACAGACACGGAAAATCCATCCAAAGTAATTATTTTTCAACTATTCCAATATTATGTCAAACGCCTCGTTATGACAGTACTATCCTATACTTTAGTATGGAGACGATCGATATTCAATGGACTAATTTTTTCTAAATGAAGATTACGTTGAATCTTATTATCGGTTACTAAGTTCTGCTTGGAAATAGTTCTATATAAGATCGTCGATGTTATTGAAATGAGTACCAGTGATTGAGAAAACAGACACGGAAGATCGATCCTAAGTAAATCATTTTTCGATATTGACGGCCTCATTTGGTCAGAAAAGTCTATCTGTCTTCGAGGAACTGAACCAGTGACCAAGTTCTGTCTAGCGTACTATACATATACAGTACACTATTTTCACTACCCTATTCTGCTTAGAAATGAAACTATAGTACCAAGTAGGAGCAGGATTTCGTGACGGATATCATCCAAAAAATAGAAATAGGACTAAATGGACAGCGATGGTTGAGGCCTATCCTTTTTTCGGCCATGCTCCTACACTATTGTACACTAAATGTACAGTCGAGTAATATTATTGATCAGCGTGAGTCGTTTTTTCCTAGAGTGGATAAAATGAAATAAAAGGATGACATTTCAATCCATTTGACTAACATTTTTTATCGGTATATAGCATCTGAGTCAATGAGATCTTCATCTATCCACACGTATAAAATTTGAAAGAATCAGGTCGGCCCAGAGAGATTTTTGAATCACTGATTGATCTGAAAAGAAAGGACTCTCACTCATATACACAGTACTGTACAGGGCACAGTCATCACCCGGTTTAAAAGCGTTTTGATGCCTTTCAAGAAAGGCTTAGAACGATAATGAAGGATGTTAAAGGGTTAATTGTCGCCACGTTTGCGACAATTAAGCATGTATGATGTGTTCCAAAAAAAATAGCAGAGTTGAAACGTTAATTTTGGGTTTCTTTTTGCGTACTTAAAAAAATCGCACTATATTCCGTGAAATTTCGACAGATTTTGCTAGTAGGTCTACTGAACGTATATCAATAGTGTAGACTGAGTACATTCACCATGGAATTTAGTGATCCTCGCCAAATCGCTGCTATTTTTATTCATAAATCGTATATGAATACTGTATTCCAATCGCAGCCATTTTTATTCATCGTATAGGAATACTATATATATATATGTTACGGCCAAAAGCCGAAGTTTGGTCAATACGCGTAATGACCGGCTATATTACTCTAGATGCACCATGGAATTGAGTGGCCCAATGCCGATCGATGCTATTTTTTTTTTCATCGTATATGAATAGTGTATAGGATATATTTGCGCTACTTATAGTCCTGTCCAATCCAATCCCATGGACTGCTCTAAAATTAGTGTAGATGCATCGTGGAATGGAGTGGTCCATGCTAAATTGCTGCTAGTTTTATGAATCGTACTAGCTCATTTCGCGCCACCTGGCTGGCGCTTGTACTGACATTAACGCGTTGACCATTATTTATTGAAACGTTACTCTTCATTTTAATATTAATTCATAGCATGCTATTTGTAATCGTCAAATTTTACCCGTCCAAACCCATGGACTACTGTAGATGCACCATGGCATTGAATGGTCCATGCTAAATCGCTGCTAGTTTTATGAATCGTACTAGCTCATTTCGCACCACCTGGCTGGCGCTTGTACTGACATTAACCCATCGACTACTCTAGATGCACCATGGAATTGAATGGTCTAATTATAGTAACTAGTGGTTATCATTTTAATGGTAATTTGGGTGGCGTTATATTAATTTTCCTTCATTTTAATTATATTATTTATAGTACAGAATGCGGAAGTCCAGCAGGTTCGCAGTATGCATGCAAAAAATTGTACGGATGTGCATACTGCGAACTTGCTGTACTTTCGCATTCTTTATATTGATTTCTATAATTCTATTCATTCTAATATTTGTACAGTAGATGCCATGTTCCAAAACAGACACAGTCCCGTCATACAGTACAGTATATTGTAATTGCATCAAGAAAATATTTTAAATTCTTTCTTTTATGCGCCAATCGATCTACAGCATTCCTACTAAAATATTTTAGCATTAATTAATAAAGTCTCAACATCTTGATCAAATATTGGTAGCGCTATCCTGCGTGAGTATTATTCGTTGAGCTTATTATAATGAACTATTGACATTGATTGTATAATAGCATCAACCACTCTCATCTAGGATAGTGTAGGTTGTGATATTATACAACACTAGTTGAAATACGATACTACTCTATTGCCATAACAGAAGTACTGTATTTGAATGCCATGAACATGACTACATTTGAATTATTGCGCCATCTTTTAATCTATTCTCTACTTTCTTCTTAATATTGTCAAATGGGATTGTAGATATTTTCCTTTCATTCATTATCGAGACTGGCTGCAACTAGAGTTGGCTATGACCTATGGATGAAAACGCATTCAGATAATATTATATCGTAACTCTGAAATGTCTCCCCTTCATTCTTATCAACAGTCATAGCAAATGCTAGCCTAACTGCAAATCGATAGCGTACTAACTGAAATGATAGAAAGGAACCGTTATTTCATTTTATTATATTATAATGAGCAGTCTACTATACAAATATTACAATCATGCCATTTGAGATTCTCCAACATTCTCAATTTGTATTAATAAATTAATGAACTAATCCGATTGTAGGAGTGTACTTGCAGTACTACCATTCTTATTCACAAGAACATCCAAAGCCAATTCATACACTTGAGTTACAGTAGTAAAATTACTGTACGTGTACAGTATAGTATAGCACCAGTGAATTACCAAATCAACAAGTCAGTAATTTATTTTTAATCGGAATTTACTATTGTTAAAAGTAATGAGTCAGCTATTTATTTATAGTAAAATAATTAACTTAAGCTCATCAGATGGTATAAAAGATGTTGCAATCACTGAAATCGACACAACGTGTAGAATCGGATTTTGTTACTGGCAGCACTATGGCAAACTATGAATCAAAAATTGTACCATTAACATTAACTGCAAACGATGAACCAGCAATTGTACAATTAACTGTTCAGGAATTTGAAGACACATTAAGAGAAATAGGAAATGGTTACCAATACTATTACATCGGTATCGCAGAATTTCATGATGATCTTAAAACATCATTGAAAACTCGCGGTATAGGAGACGGGCATCATTGCGATGAAAAAATGGGTAAGAAACCGAGAGTTATTTATGGCACTGGCAAACTAACCAAAGAACGTGGATGCCAATTGGAATTGAAATCAATCGAAGAACATCGTAAAAACAAATATTGCTTGAACGAGAAATCCTCTTCCGAGACTACAGCAACACATGTAGTCTGCTATATTCGAGTTTACAATAGCCAATCTTCAAAACCAATAGAGACGGATAGAAGTTATAATTTCCAGCCAGAAAAATACCCTAGCTACTGTGAACGACTATAAAACAAAAATTTGTATGACAGACTAGTTTTCAGCTATTTCAATACTTTCTGACATTTCTATCTTCAAGGTTCATCAATCAGTAATCGTATTTTTATTAATGAACTAATTAAAGCGTCGATTTCATCAACTGTAATATTTGATGTAAATCGAACGTCAAATCGTCTACAACTTAGGGCATATGCATCGTGCGTAATATTGCATATTGAGGCATGTATTAGCAATTTTAGATGTTGAATTGTCGTCTTTGTGTTATTAAAGTAAGATTTTATCCTAGTATCACTACAGCTCTAAATGTCGTTGATAAGCTAATTAATTTACACTTGGAACATTTCGTAATCTACTCTTTCTGTTCAAGCTATTTCAAATAAAATAAAGCGTCGGTTTACATAGATCACATTGAAATCAAAATGAAAACTTGGTATTTAGTAATTTATTATTTTATCACATCCTGTGATAAAATATCGTCCTTTTGAAAGTTCGCATTTATGTAAGACTAAGCAAATATCTTCACTCATAAAAAGTTCATTCTTGGTAAAATACCTTTAGTCTATAGTCTGCAGGTGTGTGGAGTCTAGTTCTTTTCGTTCTATCCGTTTATTATAATGTATTTTATCGAACTAGTACATTACACGTTCAAATAAACTGCAATATAATCAGCACAAAGTAATGAATAGATTTTAAAAAATTGCATTCTAAACCACAAATGTTATCTTATAAAATTGCATAGAACTACAACATTCCAATATAAAGTGATAATTCATGATGTTATAAAACCGATACAAAATTGCACATCTCATAAAGTCAGCATAAACAACAATCAAGTCGTAAAGCCAATATAAAACTCTAAATTACTTATAGCGAGCCTATAAAGTAATTTCTATGAATTTATTGGCTGTAGTAGACTCATGAATCGTCAAAGAACTTTCTTTAGTACACTAATAATACATCATCTACTTTAAATTGATATCCTACAACAAATTGCATTGCCTATTAATGGCTAAAACATGATAGCAGTGCTAGAAATTGAGTGAGAGTGCACTGGAAGACTATCGAGACCTTGGATATTCCTAGCACTTGCGATCATATGTCATATGCGACCACCTTCGACTTTCGTTAGAATATAAAGTCTAAACATGTCTATGAATATGTAATCTACCATGAGATATAGCGTTCAGTTTGTTGTATGACATATGTAATATATGTCGAAACTCTCAACTTTCCCTAATCCGTACTTTCATAGGGCTACTACGTCTTACAGATATCAATAAACAAGGCAGGATAAAATGTTCATGAAATTGAATATAGACTCTGTTTAGTGTCCTTCATTCAGATAGGATACCTCCAACAACGGTGGGTAGTTTACATCACTAACTAAACCCGCATTCTATGCCGTACGAAATGTTTGCTCACATCATTCCAATTATTGACACTGGTTATGCTTAATTTATTTATGCTAATATTGTTGAACGCATCCTTCGAACTTTATAGAGAGACTGAATTTATGTCCACCCTTCATGGAGCTCGTCAATAACGATACCATATTTGTGCTTATTTTTGGCGATGCTAGTATTTATAGAATTGCTATGGCATGATCCTAAAGAATTAGTACGCTTCAGTCTATTAATAGTATAGCCTAATAAGAAATAATTATCGCTCAAATAAACAAAAAAATGTTCAAATTACACGTAAAACTTACGCTGCCATTTCTTCTAATGATTAGATGCTACACTGTATGTCGTCGAGAGAGTATAGACTATTAGAAAAGTGCATCTCCAACAATCTAGAGTTCTCTAGAGTGCATTCAATGAACACTAAAATGACATTCTGTGCTACCTAGGATATATTCAATCAATACTGCCATTTCCTATCAAGATTATTATACAGTATGTTGTATCCCATATACGGGCTAAGAGAAGAGTGCATGTCTAACAATCCACCGTTACATAAAGTACATTCAACAAACATTAATCATTTCTCTTTTATGTTATATCGCATGCACTGATCTCTAGGAAATGACATTTCTAGCAATCTAGAGTTATATCGAGAACATCCAACATGCATTGTCGTTTCTTATAATGGCCATATGTTGCGTCGTCGCTGTAGACTACAAGTAATCTAAAGTTGTACGTATATAGTATATCCGGTAAACACTGCCATTTCCGATAATCATGATTTGCTATATGGTAGATCCAGACTACTAGAAGCATATTTCTAGTAATCTAGCATACATAGATGCATATATAGAACATTCTCGTCAATACTAGCATTTCCTATCTTGATTTAAACATGATTTCAAAGCTACAGGCTACTGGAAAGGATATTTCCAACAATCTAAAGTTATATATAGTGCGTTTAAATAAAAACGGCATTTCCTACCATGATTAAGTGTTATTGCGTAACCGTAGGCTACTAGTAAAGTACATTTCTAGCAGTCTAGAATTAAATATAGAACATCTGATTCTATTTTTTACAGTAGAAACGAAATTTCTGGACGTCATCGCAACTAAAATAGCAATAGCAACAACCCAATATTGACGGAATTACTTCAACAGAGCAAAGAATTGAAAAGTTTATATATACATCCACATAGTAAATTGAACAATTTTTATGATTTCGTAAGTGAAGATAGAAACGAGTAGAATTATCCAAAGTAAAGAGTAGACAACCACAATTTACAATGAATTCAAATGTTTCTAAATTACTAACCACGATTGCTACTTTGCTATTGCTAGCTTCCATTAGTCTAGCAAAAAGTGAAGACCAAATCAAGCGACATCTTACCAATTATCAACTCCACTCGCCTATCAAGGCTTATTTCGACTATAATCGATCCTCATGTCGTGGCCAATTTAACTTCTCTGTGGCCAATAAAACGATACTCCTATCCATCAGACCTTCACAGAATGTCTCATGGAATCGAAATAACAGCCAAAATTGTACCATCTTGCCTATTAGTGTTGTTGGAAAAGTAACTAATAATTCACAATCATACGTCGATGGAATAGTGACAAGCCATGGAGAATTTTACGGAAAAATCGCAATAGGACGTGGAAAATTTACAAAGATTTATTATGTTGATTCTTGGTTTAGTGACCATGATGATGAAAGATATGCATTAATATATAGTTTTGCAGACTTGATTCCATATCAATATCGTAGTGGAACTGCCAGGTATGGTATTCTGACTGAAAGTATTGAAAATCTTGACAAATATCTTGCTACAGATCAGGATCTTTCGCTTTTGGAAGAAGACAGTGATGAGATGTTTATACAATCAAAGGTGTCGCCTAATAGACTAGACGATTCTCCTCTCAACTGGAAATCAGGTCCTCTCCAAGTTAAGAAAAAAATTTGCAAGCTGCTAGCCATTTCTGATGCTAGCTTTACTGTTAGCTACCATAATAACAAACCAGTCATTGAAGCAGCTTTATGGAATATTGTTCTAGCAGGGAATAAATTGATCCAATCCTTGTCTGTGGATGATGACCATTACATTAGGGACGAAATAGAATTTCAACTGGATAGCGTTCAAATTGAAGAGCCAGATTGGTACGTCAATGAGGCGGGGCAGGAAGATAGCTCAGATCCTATGGAATATTTACTGCAACGTTCTCGGCTAAATTACAACGATTACTGCTTAGTTATTGTACTTACTAATCGTGAATTCACTAACCACGAAAACAGTATCAGTTGGACTCATGGAACAAAAAACTTTGGTCTATGTTCACCTTACCAGCAGCATCCTACTGTTCAAGAAATGATATCGGGAAATGTAATGATTATCAGTCGAAAAAGTCTCAATTCTACTCTGCCTCAAGCCATGATAGAGAATGAATTTATTCAAGAATTAGCTATTGCCACTGGTCTATGGCACGAAGATAGAGAATGCTTAGATAAAAGCACGACTAAAGCTATTTTAGCTCAAACTAATCCATGCGATAAGCAATCTATTCTCACTACTCTACGTGATCGATTGAATACATGTTCCAGGAAACAGTTACTTGATGTAAATGTTGCCTCCAATCAATGTGGCAATGGTAGAATTCAACCTGGTGAAGAATGCGATTGCGGCGCAAAAGAAGATTGTTCAGACAGTTGTTGTGATGCAGAAACTTGCAAACTGATAACGTCGAGTCAATGTAGTCCAAGCCAAGGTCCTTGTTGTAATCCAGATTCATGCATGTTTTATAATGTATCGGAAGAAATTGCTTGTCTCCATGAAGAAGAATGCTATCATAGCAGTTTATGTGATGGCAAGACACACGGTTCGGTTTGCCCTCCACCAAAAACGAAGCCTGATTCAACGTTATGTGAAGGTAATAGAAAGACGTGCCAAAATGGAGAATGTTCAGGATCTTTATGCTTACAATATGGTCGTCAAGCATGCGAGTGCCAAGTGAAGGAGAAATCTTGCCATCTATGCTGTTGGAATGAAAACACAAAGACTTGTCAAAGTATTTCCGACTATCCAGAATATGATAAGTTGCCTGGAATGTACAAGCCAGAAGGAAGCAACTGTGGAAATGGTAGTGGAATTTGCAATTGGGACGGACATTGTATACCTCCAGTTCGAATTGGAGCTAGTTTTATTAGTGTCATTTTACGTAAGCTATTGCGGTATTTAGGTAGAGCTCTTTTGGCAGCCATGTTAGCATTCCTTGCTACTACCCTCCTTATTTACTACATGCTATATAATGAGCCTTTCTTTTTCGCTTTACTGTTTCTGACGTCTGTCGGTTTTGGATATTTTCTGAACAAGAAATTATTTACTACTTGCCAATCGGCCAAGGATGAAGATCAAAATAGTGAAGAGCGCTTACGAGTATGATTGGAGATGGGCGCTTGCTTGCTTACTACCTTCATCCAATTTGATACAGGTGTAACAATTTTATTTTCAAAAGTAACTAATAAAATAGATACTGGCGATGAGTTAAAGATAAAGTAAAAGTATTTTAATTTTGCTGGATTAGAATGTACAGCAATCGTTGCTGTAAAATAATGATACTCTCCATCTTACCAAGCACCCTATTATCAATCGTGTACATCCATGTATAGCCAATGAATCATTTTTAATGATCCTGCTCTTTATTATGTCAACTGATTGTATCACTTGAAATATGTCTACAGCTCTTGTTTCTCTTCATGTTTGTTCATTTTTTTTTTTAATATTGAACTATTGATCTACAATCAGTACAATTTTTATTTTATTATAGAAATGTAATCCATTTACCGTCAGTTTGTACGTGTAGCGGCATGAAGACTATTGTATTTAATTATTTAAATAATCTGCAAAGTAAAGTAATAAAAGTAATCCATTTACAACGATGTGCTAATTAAATTGTTGTTATCATGGTCTATTGGTATATTAACGAACCACGATCAAATATCGCCTGAGTTGGATGATTTAATGTATAAAACTACTTTATAATCATTAAAATACTTCTCTAAGACAAAATAATTGTTTGCAGGTTGTGTAGTAAATACTCAATACATTGACAAGTGCGTACCCGTTGAAGAAGACAAGGCATAGCAAGTTGGAATTTCATTAGCACCAATGTGTATCGAATGATAGCGGCGTAAAGACAGTTTTATTAAATAATATGCAAAGGAAAGTAATAAAGTAATCCATTTACAACGATGTGCTAATTAAATTACTGTTATTATGGTCTATTGGTATATTAACGAACCACGATCAAATATCGCCTGAGTTGGATGATTTAATGTATAAAACTACTTTATAATCATTAAAATACTTCTCTAAGACAAAATAATTGTTTGCAGGTTGTGTAGTAAATACTCAATACATTGACAAGTGCGTACCCGTTGAAGAAGACAAGGCATAGCAAGTTGGAATTTCATTAGCACCAATGTGTATCGAATGATAGCGGCGTAAAGACAGTTGTATTAAATAATATGCAAAGGAAAGTAATAAAGTAATCCATTTACAACGATGTGCTAATTAAATTACTGTTATTATGGTCTATTGGTATATTAACGATCCACGATCAAATGTCGCCTGAGTTCGATAATTTAGACTTTATTTAACCTTAAAATAAATATGGCGATAATTCGTTGATATCCATATGTTCTTATCATGAAATTAATGGTTAAAACACTTGTCTAAAGATGACAGAGTCCGTAAAGTCTAAATGATTGTTTGCACGTTGTGTAGTAAATACTCAATACATTGACAAGTGCGTACCCGTTGAAGACAGGGCATAGCAAGTTGGAATTTCATTGACGACTGTGTTTTTGGGAAGAGTGGGGAGAAAAGGAGAAATGACATATGTGGCATTGATTGAAATATCGCAATTAGGATCAGTCCTATAACGTGTAAAAAATTAAGATTGCCAATCTCTGCCAAGTAAATATGAATATTAACTTATCTTTGGAGGCAGCTTACTAGCATTAATGAAATATTAATGAAGTGTAAATTTAAGAAAAGGATTATGAGCTGGAATGTTTTTACCAGATGGGGTGTAATACTATTTCTAAGCCTACATGCACGTAATGTAATATTGCCATAACGTAAAGTAGATAAACCGTGAAATCTATTGTAAGGAATATGTATGTGGATGACAGAGAGTTATTGAGGCAAATATTTTGCGTAAATTTCCTTCATTGGATCTACGCATAGATACAAGCACAATTTTTTATACTCTTTTCGGTACACGTTAACAGATGTTTAGCGGTAAAACCATATTCTCGTAAATAATTCAATACACATTGGTATCAATAAATCATCCGCTGTTCAATTTTGATATTTCGCTGAGCGCTATTATTCATATACTTTGATTATTTGCATGCACATCATTCTATGATACAAATCGGATGGTTTCTTTACACCAATGTGTGTTGAGTCGTTCACGAAAATGAACATCTTTTGATATATACGATACCAAAAAATGTATAGAAGTTGTATTCATTTCTAGGTTTCATTAAATTAAGGAAAATTTATTGCTTAATGCTATTTTAAGGCGAAAGTTGGATGGTTTATGTACGTCAATGGGTGTTGAATTATTCACAAAATGAATAAAAAAGTTGTGCTCCTCTCTAGGTCCTATTAAGGAAATTTATTGCTTAATGCTATTTTAACGCGAAAGTCGGATGGTTTATTTACGCCAACGTGTGTTGAATCATTCTCGAAAATGAATAAAAATGTAGTACTTCTATCTAGGTCCCATTAAGGAAATTTATTGCTTAATGCTATTTTAGCGTAAAAGTCGGATGGTATATTGATACCAATGTATATTGAATGATTCCCTCAAATGTTATTTTACCGTTCATTAAACTCCTATCTAGGTCCCATTAAGAAAAGTTATTGCTTAATGCTATTTTATCGTAAAATTTGGATGGTATAATGATACCAATGTGTATTGAATCATTCCCTCAAATGTTCCATTAAATTAAGGACAATTTATTGCTTAATGCTATTTTAAGGCGAAAGTTGGATGGTTTATTTACGCCAACGTGTGCTGAGTCATTCACAAAAATGAATAAAAAAGTTATGCTACTATCTAGGTCCCATTAAGGAAATTTATTGCTTAAAATACTATTTTAACGCAAAAGTCGGATGGTTTATTTACGCCAACGTGTGTTTAGTCATTCTCGAAAATGAATAAAAATGTAGTACTTCTATCTAGGTCCCATTAAGGAAATTTATTGCTTAATGCTATTTTAGCGTAAAAGTCGGATGGTATAATGATACCAATGTGTATTGAATGATTCCCTCAAATGTTGTCTTACCGTTCATAAAATAATTTTGGATGTGTACTCAAGAGTGTAATAACTTATGTATGCATCTACACGTAGATCCCATGTTTCAACGGCAAATTTCGCGTAAAGTGTTTGCCTTTGTAACTCTCCTTTGATACGTATGGATATATCATACAACAAACTCCGCTCAACATGGGATGGTGTATAGTAAAGAGGGTAATAAGCTCGATTGAAATCCCTTCCAGATGTTAGGGTTTGATATTCTGTAAATTATTTTTATAGGTTATACCTTGGTCGTTTTTCCGTAAAGTTCTGATGGCCTCTATGAAAATTTCGTTTTACCGTTAAACATCAGATGATGTGCAGTAAATAGTACAAAAAGTTACGATATACGGGTATGCACTGTTGTAGTTCTTAATTCAGGAAAAATCGCTTGGAATATCCCCTTCCATGACTATTTTTGGGACACAAACTACAGTATATGGCCCACTTTCGCCGGCTACGTGCATTCTCGTACAGTACTTTCGTTATTGTCCACTTTGACTTGTTTCTAATTTTACTGTACTGTTTATTGATTCGTATTATGGGTAGTGGATTGATATTCCAGTCTTTTGTGGCATTCGCTCTAGTGATTGACAAGGCATATATACCGTGAAAATTTATTTAACCTTAATTAACCTGCTGTCTTCTAGGTACTCACTGTAAGATGTTAATTGGCATGTTACTTTTATCTTACGTTTGTCGAATGGCTAAATATGTAATGTAGGACAGACGAGCAATTTACTTTTAACGTTATTGGAGAGTACTGGATTGTAGGTAGGAATTTTTAAGATAGAGTTAAAACGGTGCAATATGTTTTATAGCCCATGATTATCGTGCTTATGAATGCTAGAAATAAGGTTCGATAACTCTCTTTCTGCCTAGCATTATTTTGATATTACTCTACTACAGGAAAATGGTATATTATTTTGCGCAGCCTTCCAGCAATTGTAGCTATTGGAAGTTGGTATGGTAGCTTGAGAATAATACCATTATTAGATCTATTAACCAGTGTAATACTTAGCATAGCAATCACTGCCTTATTACGCTTCTTTATTTGAACTATTTTGCTCATATCTGGCAAGAATTTATCGCTAGCGTTACTATGACTCATTGCAAATAGGTCCAATGGGCATACGAACGCATGTACTTGTATAGGGTATAGGGGACTGGATGCTTGCAGAATACTGCGTAATCGCTCCATAACGGAAATGAATAAATATCAAGACTGTTTGAACGGTCGTAAATTGCGCCATTTATTGAAAGCAACGAATCATTCCCTACCAGAACCATCGCCAAAGGGTTTCACGAAATTAAGGTATGATGACCAAGACTACGGATATCATTTTGTATTTTTGGAAGCCCTTTTGACATCATTACAATATGCTGTGTGCATAGCCTAAAATTTTTTCAGCTGTTTTGAAGTACTATTCTTGCATTGATTCGATACTGTTGTAAATATTGATTAGAAAAGGAGGTAAGTTTATTGGTTTTTTCTTGCCTTTCCTATATGTAGAGTAGTGTCTCCATATTGTATTCTCGTCATCAATGTCATGGGTTAATGTGTCCACTACCAATTGAATCATGTACAGTAGTAGTATATTTTTAAGCGTTGGGAGACTATGTGGAATGAAGTTTGGCAATGGTATTTTTTTCGTACGTTATTAAAGTAAAAGTATACCTCACTATGATTACAAGGCTATTATGTCCCATTTTAAAAGATTAAGGCTCAATTTTACTACGCTATCTAGTGATTGAAGTATATATAATTTGCTGTGATACTTATTGTTGAGGAAATTACAGGTTCAAATGGGAGATGTGCTAAGTAGATTGATATACGCGTTTAATGTGGTTAATTTTATAGAGATCCGGTGATAGTTTTGCACGCAATGCGCTATAACAAAACATATCGTTGATAGACTGCTGTATCAGGAACTACTAAAAGTAAAAGAGGGTCACTACAAAATAATAGATGGACGCTTATCATTTTTGGGGGAAAAAATCAGCCCATCGTTCTCGTTTTAGTAGTCCAGTATATCGACGCGTATACCCCAATATACTGTATATTATTAT